ATTCCAGAAGGACACCCGTGATGGTGCTTCCATTCGCACCGGTGCGACAAGTGCTTTGGATGACAGAAACGGCAATTCCCGGTCCGGAAGTGCCTCTGGTTCCCGGATGGCTCCCCCACGACCCCACCGCATGTCTGCTGGGCCCCAATCCCCTGGTGGCGGATCACCCAAACCTGCTCCTTTTGGCGAGAACAGCGACTTCTCGTCGGTGTCATCGCAGATGCCGTCCCCGCCGCCGCCTGTCGGCGGTGCGGCCGGCTTTGTGTTTGAGCCTGCGTTTCCTGCTGCCGAGATGGCTGCCGAGACAGGTCCTGTCGAGGCCGATGGCAGCAACGTGCCGCCTGTTGCTGAGCTTCAGGCCCCTGAGCCGGCGGTGACCAAGATCTCCCGTAAGGGCCTGCCGGTGTCTCCACGGCCGCAGGATCCTGCAGCACCACCAGCCAACCACCGCTCTACGACGGGCACTGTGGACGAGCCTTTCATCTATGATTCTCCGAACCGCGGTCTTCGCCACGACTCATCAACGTATGCCGACTTTGACCTGAAACTGGACGCGCACAGCGACAGAGACTCGCACGGCCAGCCGCTCTCTTCATCTTTGCCGAAGCTGGCACTTGGTGGGCCATTTGACGACGAGACCTTCCTGCCCGGACAGGCCACGACAACTGGTAGCGAACCCACACTGCCGCATATTGTGACCCCCGATGCTGAGCATTCGCAACCGCCTATTATTGAACCACACCAATATGGCGAGCTCTTCCCCGAAGAGCCTGGGCAAGAGGATGATGGTCGCGGCCGCTCATTGCACAAACGGCAGTCGTCCGAGTACCCGCAAGACGGCACCGTCCGCCAATCGGCTCTTGGTCTGCCGCAGATGGACACCCGACGCTTGTCAGTTGGCTTCCGTCCCCTGCCTCCCGATGAGCTGATTGAGTCCGAAGACCCTGAGACACGGGCCAACCGTATTCGTTCCTTTTACAAGGAGTACTTTGACGAGTCGAAGCCCGACATGGCCGAGTACAACCAGCACTACCCGCCACAAGGTGTCCCGGCCGAATGGCGTGATGCTGCCGGTGGTGGTTCACACTACGACAACCCTGCTGGCGGTGCCCAGTACTACGAGGACTACGACCAGTCGTACAACACTATGGGCGACGGCGCGTATTTCGATCCGCAGTCAAACTCCTTTGTTATGCCGTACGCGCAGCCTGTTTCGAGACGGGCTATGACGCCGCCTCCGTCAGGATCGCGCTTCCCTGGTGGCCGGCCCCGTGGCGGTCCTCGCCCGTTCCATGGCTCCATGGGTGGTGGCATGGGCCCTGGCGGTCCTGGTATGGGTATGGGTATGTCGCGCCCTGGATCGTCCATGTCCAGCCAATGGGGTCCCCGCCCTGGCTCGTCTCTTTCGAGCCGCCAGATGCCCGGTGGTCGCTCTGCGTCCAACCTGTCCGGCCGCTTCGGCGGTGGCCCGCGCAAGCCGATGCCACCCCCAGAAGACCTCATCACGCTGCCCACCCCGAGCAAGCTCAAGGATGACTCCTTCGCGCTTATGGGTGCTATTGACTTTGCGCCCCCGCCTACCTTCAAGGACCATACCAGTGGGCGGTCCCAGAGTCCTCTCGGCGAGCGCAAACCTTACCAGATGAACGTGCCCTCTGCTTCACCATTGGTGTCTTCGTTCGACGAGATGGCGGCCCTGCCCAGCCCGTAAGTACAGTTCCATTGTTATCTATATGCTCTTGTCAAGCTCTACGTAATAACTAACATCTTGTGCTTTTCAGTCACTTGCTCCGTAAATCTAGCACATTTACGGGCCTCGACTTTGCGCCGCCCCGCAAGTTCAAGGACAACGATACGATGAGTGATGCGGGTAGTATCCGCAGTAACCGAAGTGGTATCTCCGCCATGAACCAGGCTGCTATCCGCAGTGGTGCCGGCCGCGTGAGCCGCCTGCCAGGTGACAACGTGTTTACACAGGCTGCACTGGCCGACCAGCTTAAGCCCACTTGGGGTTTCCGTCCATAGAGCACACTCTGCCCGCTCGAAGCCCACACACTACACATCTCGACCTGGCTACCCTCGACCGACGCTGACATCTGAACAAGAGCATCTTTGGATGGTTTCGATTTACGGCCTCCGCCAGGATGTCTCGCAATGCCATATTGCGCGACAGTAATGTCAACTGGCTACTATCTTGTCATTTTCTTTGCATCCGTTCTGGCGTTGGGAGGACTCTCTAATTTTAATCCTTCTCATTGAAAAGAAGGCATGAACTTGATACAGCACTTGCATCTTGTTTGTTTTATTTATTTATTTTTTTCTTTCTCTCACGAGGATGAAGGGAAGGCGAAATCTATGGTTTGTCTCAGACCTTTGTTTCTCTACCACATTTCTTTTCTCCATTTTGCAACACTTTTCCTGCGTTGCATAGCGTGCCCATCTTTGTTTATACATCTGAAAATACAAAGATGACAACCTTTTGCATTCTTTCTTCTTCAATATAACGGTAGTGGAAGGCGGGTTGAGCTCATGTCTACTGGTTGAACTACAGTAGCCCGTCCACAGTACTTGGTTTTATAGTTTAACCAGCCAGACGGAGCTCCCCTTCCTTTCCTACCCATGCATGACGGATGTTGCATATAGACGGGAAAGCTAGGATCTTTTATTAGTTTTGTTCCTTATTTTAACTGGTGTCTTTTAATCTATAATCTAGCCTCAATGAACAAACCATGTTGTGCCAATTGTTTATCCCACAAAGTTTATATCGTGTGTACATAATGCCCTCTCTCGGTGTAAAGTCTAGTAAACTGTGCGTTCCAAGAGACGCAGGCTCATCATTCAACTTGCCGGATGTCTCCCCAATGGCAAGAGAGACAGACGCCTACGCAGCAGTGCCGTAATGGTGCCATAAATCCCACGGCCTGCCTCGTAAATGCTGTTCTCCACCGTGATGGAATCTCCCGACCAGCATTCTTAGTTCAGGACGGCTTCTTGGTGGGACGAAAACTGCCTCTGCATACGGACGATGAGTCCTTTTGATAACTGCATAGCCACTGACGACGTTGAGAACTCAGAGACAAAAACAGTAAACTGGATGGAGTAGAAGCGTACGGACATGTAGCCGTGCCAAACCTTGCAAACAAGACACAGCCGCTGTAGATCTTGTTTGGACGCACCGGATGTGATGTCTTTTCGTCTCCAGCTGGCTCTGAAATTGTTGTCACTGCATGGATTTCATTTGTCCAAAAGCATGGCCCCCTGTCTACCAACCCACCTATGAACAAGACGCGCCAAGTTGACTGCGGCAACCGCTTGTGCAATCTGTCAGCATTCTGCCGCAGTCCACTGAATGTGAGGTTACTGACCGTTGCCCTTGCGAGGGCCTTCTCTTTGCAATCTAGTTTCTCTCCATATCCCATGCGAATCGAAACGCTTCGTCATCTCGAGATCGCCACCGGGACTTGAATCGTGAGAGCTTGCAAGTAAGCATGCATCGTTCTTTGCATCTTACCCACGTAAAGCGGGACCCGTCGGAGCGTCCGGGGTGTCCGGAGGACGCCCGTTCCCTGTGTGCCCTGTGAGCCGGTTCGACGCTGCGTTTGGGGCTTTTTGGTTCTCTTGATCTTGATTTACCGAAGCTTGCTCTTGACTACCATTACCAACCAGTTGCCCGCCATCTGATCGTGGTAGGTGAGGGTTTTTCGATTCTGAGAAAAAAAGAAGGGACAACTAAGTGACTGTTGCCTCCTCGGGGATGTCCTTATGATCTGACGTGCCACAACTACTGTCTACCATTAACTGGAGTGGAATAAGCGGCTTGGCCGTTCCGTTCTGTGAGGTTCGACCTGTGGCTCCTGCCGTAGCCGTTTCCGTAGAAATAGCATCTGCAAACCATGTTGCATTCCGTGAATTTTCTACAATCCACGCAACGTACAAAGACACGCATATGCCAACATGGCCCTCTCGACGGCCTCCTGGGCGAAGGAAACTAGGGAAATACATAGACAGCCAGAAGGTCGTGTTGAAGCAAACTGGGCTGCGCTAAAGGAGGCGCGGAGCCCTAACCCAGCCCTGAAGCCCCGATTGGACTGGATATCGCCCCCCAAGGTTGACCAAACTCGACCAGCTAACTTGGATCCTTGTTTTTTTTTTTTGGTTCGGTACTGACAAGTATCTCACCACCACATATGGCGTCTGTATTTGGTGCTGTTCTACTTTGACTACTTCAATCTGACACGATGGTGAGCCTTCTTGTCGTCGGTCTCGTATTCCGATTCCTAATGGTCTTGATGATTATGTGTTCATCGTAACTCGATTGCCCGTGCATCACGAGATTCGATTTCGTTTTGCCCTGTCAAGGCCCCGTGCCCGCTGTTGTAACGGAATCGGCATAGTCCTATGTTTGATTGTTGATCTGATTGTTTATTTTCATTTCATTTTTTATGGTCTTCCAAATTTTGCCAATCACTTCCCCTTCTTTCTCTGTCTCCCATTAAACATGTCTCACATATCGCTTCACCTATTCACTCACTTGTAGGCCATGCTCCACTGCAATGCACCTTTTTGTTTGTTTTCCTTTGCATCCCCTTCTCCTTTCTGCTGTCCCGCTGGGTTCTGCACTGACGTCCTGGGCTCTGCTCTGCATGTCCGACTGCCCCTGTTTCTCCTTCCCAGATCTGGAGATGGCAACTTAGTACAAACGCGTCCCTGCGAAAATCCTTCGCTGCGACCCGAGATCAACAAAGATGGACAAAGAGAGAAAGAAAAGGGAAAATCGCGACCAGATCAAAGATGGGACTTCTATTTTGGGGCTGACAGACCCTGGCTTCTTCGGACGGGTCTGGAAACAAGTACGACACAGCGGTCCACCCAGTTGAGTCGCGACGTGCTGCAGGTGGCATCTGTACGTCGTACTCCGTAAGGCAATCTTGGCGCACAAATACAGCATTGGTTATTACGGAGGTCAATCATCGAGCACGACTGTCACTGAGACGTAGAAGATGCGCTTGAGGAAGGTAGAAGAAGGGCCCGAGGGCATCGCAACGGTTTCGTTCCAGGAAGGAGGCACAGGCGTCCATCGCTGTCGTATGTGCGAAATGAGGAAGGTGCGCCGGGGCTCCGTAACAGCCAAAGGACAGGCTAGAAGATACACCCTCGCACGGAAAGAACGCTCACGAGCAAAGTATGTTACAATTGGAAGGGAAGGAACGGATGAAAACGAGCAAAGTAGTCCCGAAGTAAAGACGACGTAAGATAAAATTGCATGTATTGATGCGCTGCATTTATCTGCAAGGGTACATCGTCTATTGCGCAGTAGTGCCAAACAATGCCCCAACCCAATTGTGGGAACCCACATCAAACGAGAAAAATGCCACATCCAGCGCCAAAAACCGGGCGGACTGTATCTTGTGCTGGGGCCCGCCACCGCGTCGCGCCATTCGCTCCTATTCGCGCGGCTTAGCTCTCAGCCCGATCTTTGCCTGGGGCCGCTCCCTCCTCACGTTTCCTTTTCTCGTATTGCGCACTGGAGCCAGCGAAAAAAGGAGCTATTGGACATTTGTACGGAGTAATTTGCTAGCACGCGCCTGCCCGTCGAGGTTTGCAGCGAGTGCGATGTTCGCTCCTTCCCACGAAAAGATCTTTCACCCACCCTCGTGTGCCCGGCCCTGATTCCCCTTCTTGCCGACGTTGACAGTCTCACCTCTCACCGCGCGAAATTGAGGCTTCCATTTTGGCTTCATCCTCTTCACACTCATTTTTGTTGACGATACTACTTCGGCCATTGTTATCACTTTATTTGTTCCACTCCCTCAGGTTACGCCGAGTTCCTTGGTTGTGGGAATACTCCCGTGCGACAACGCCTATTGTTTTTTATTATTTCCCTTTCCGCCTGACCCAGGATCTCCCTTCCACAACCGATTCCTCCCACTCTCGTCCCATTCCTGCGGAAACACACCCTCCAGACGAGACGCCCATCCACCTTTCGGTCGCTCTCCCTCTCCCGTGCCCAACAGCTGGAAACCGAGATCGACAACCGGTCTCCAATTTGTTGTTCTTGTTCCTCTACGACGCTGCTGACGCAGCCAGGGCCGACGCCCATTCCGACACCCGTTGCAACCCACAACAAACGGAACGACACGTATAGTCGTTTCTCTGTTGCTGCGACAGGCGGTTCAACAAAACGACGACAGCACCCAATTCGCTCTTCGAACGAGTGTATTTTCCTTCTTCGCCACGTCCTTGCTGCGACACAAAGCGCGGATCACAAACGGAAACACGAGGAGGTCGTGCACCGTCTTTGAGCTCAAAAAAGAGCTGCCCATCTTGCAGAACGATCTCGTCTTTTCTGCTGTGCTGCGCGACCTGTTGAATCGGTCAAGTTTACGTCGTCTTCAAACCAGAATTTTGGTCAGCCAACTTGGCCCAACTATTATTGCTTTCTTGGCTTTCTTGGTCTCGCCTCGTTCTATTGCGTCACGAACACCTCTTACCGGGCGTCTCTTTTTTGCCTCGTTCCACCTCATCCTGCCATTGTTGGGCAATTCATCCGCAATATAGCAGCTCGACCAACAAACTGGACACGATCCCCGACTCTCCAGCCTCTTTTGACTTGAGCCTATTGTCCATCTGGTGCTCCTAAACCCCGGCTCTGGAAGCGCGCCACAACTTCACACGCACCACTCGCAACCGCAGACGACGTTGCAGTTGGAAGAGACAATCAATAACCCGACGACGGTCGACGGGTTTTCTTGTCTCATTTAACTTTGGTCGCGCCCGCCCGTTTACTCCACAAGCGGCCTGACTTTTGCTCTCTCCGTCCCCCTCTCCAGAGACGATTTGGAGAGTGAGTTGTGTTTTTGGTTTCTTGTCTTTGGATATACATTTCGGGACCTTTTTTTGGACTTGCTCGACTTTTTCGAGTTGAATATTTCCTTCATTCGGCCAATTGCCCTATTTTTATCTTTTGGCCCCTGCGAGTCCCGTTGCAGCTGGCTCTCCTGGCCACACGTTTGGGTCGTCCGCCACACAAATCGCTGCCAACCCCTGTTTTGTGTTCGCAAGAGAAAACGAGTCGCACGCCGCCACTCCCTCGAGCTCCGCGTCGCTTTGTCTCCGACGCTGTCAAACGCCAAACAGCAGCCGAGGGCAGGCCTGCTTGTTTTCGTCTCTCCTTGCTCCCTCTCGTCCAAAGCTCGATCGGACTCGTACCGAAACAGCGAACCCTTTTCTCGGGATTTCGTTGCCATTTCGACAAGAGCTCCTCGATTGCGCGTGGTCCTCTTGCCATTACTTGATTGTTATCGACCGTCGTTTCTACACAAACAATCTAGTTTGCAGAGTAAGTTTATCATCTCTCAGCCTCGGCTTTCCTTTCTACCTTGACCGTTCTGGTCGTCGTCCCGGCGCTGCGCACTGCTGTGGTCGCGAAGATGCACGGAACATGGCGGCCAGTGACCAAACGGGCAGCGCGTACCACCACAGGCTGCTGTGCCATCATCCACCGTGCTCGCAACGTCGCGCGTTTCCGTTCATCTTCCCATCTCTGCACTGACTTGTTCTGTCACATACGACCACAAAGCGGCCCTGTATGCTCGGTTCTTTATTGGTTCCTCGTACACTGATGTTGACCTACCCTTTCGCATTGCAACCCTCCATCGCTTCCTCCGTACCATTTATCTCAACGCTCTGCTGCTATCACGTCGTTGGGAATCATACCTGCTAACAAGTCACTCGCGTATAGGGCTCGGTTAACGTTGAGATTGAGTAGCATCACCATGTCTACCAACAACAGTACGAGTGATCCGGGGGCGGTTACCACGCCCTCGGCGCCGTTGAGCTCTCATGGTGGCGGTGATGCAACTACACCTTCTAACACTCCTTCAGCTTCTACGCCGACGACGGCCAGCGAACCTACCACGCATTCTACAACATCTGAGCCTTCAAACCCCACGACGCCGACCACTCCCACCACCCCAACGCCGACTTCGACCCCGCCAACGTCGTCGTCTTCTTCAACACGTGCACCACCTACCACATCGTCAGAACCGCCTACTACCTCCTCAACTCCTCCCCCGCCGCCGACAACCTCCTCGACACCACCGGACAGCACGACATTTGTGACGCCTTCGGACCAGGGTACCAGTACCAGCACTTTCACAGTCACACAGGTCACGCAAGCGCCGACGCATACCACCCCGTCGCACACGACAAGCTCTGCCAGCACAACGTCTGGCGGTGCGGCTGTTGGCCCGACAGGCAGCTCGGGCAGTGGTCTTTCCAGCGGCGGCAAGATTGCCATCGCCGTTGTTGTCCCCATTGCTGCTGTCGCTCTGTTGCTCCTTGCCGGCATCTACTTCTGGCGGAAACGCAAGCAGCGCAAGGATGCTGAAGAGGAGCGTCGCAAGGAGGTCGAGGACTACACGTTCAACCCCAATGGCGACCGCGACCTGGCTGCCCTTGCCGCGGGTGGCGCTTCCGGCGCCAACGGCTATGAGATGATGAAGGAAGATGCCAACTCCTCCGGCTACCGCGGCTGGGGTACGACGACTCTTGCCGGCTCGACGGGCCGGAAAGCTTCGACGACTATGTCGGGTGGCGCTGCCGGCGGTCCCGCCTTCTCGGATGCTACCTCGCCTACGCGCGGCGGGCCGTCGGACGGCCGTTCGGGTGATGTTGCGTATACGGACGGCACGCAGTCCCCCGAGGGCGAGATTCTGGGTGCTATGGGCCCGTCCGCCGGCAACAACCGCGCCGCGGATGTCCGCCGAGGCCCTTCGAACGCCTCGTCTTCCTACAGTGCCGCTGCGCACTCGGACGGTTCGGGCGATGGTGGCGTGGGCGGCTATGCCAATGCTGCGGACGCGACCTACTACAACCAGTACGGCGGCAACAACCCGTACGCCGAGAACCCCTACGGCAGCCCGCCTCGGCCCACTGAGCTGGCCGGCGCGCCTGTTATTCGCGACAACCCGGCGCGGCGCAACACGCGCATCGAGAGCCCAGCGCACTACCCTCAGCAGAGTGCCAACGTCTCACAGAACTTTTAGTGGTTTTATTTGAGCTGATTTCATTACTTCCTCAACGACGTCCTCTGTTTGCATTGTATTTCTTCCTCTCTTTAGCGTTTTAACGGTCTTTTGTGTCTCTGCCCCTTTTACCGTCGTCTGTCACTCTTTTTTTTTCCCCTTTCACCCTGTCTACTTTATAGTACACATACCATCCGACCGCATATCTATCTCTTCATCGCTAATATCGTTTCTTTCCCTTTCATCACTTGTCTCTTTTTTCTTTTCCTTCAATATCCATATATATTCTCTTCCCCACGAAATGGCAAAAGCGTCGCATTGAACTTTGGATGTGTGCAGCACAACACATTCCGGGGGCTTTGCTCTTTTTTGTTTGTTTCTTTGCACATATGTCTTTTCCTACAGTTCACCTATTTATTTAATTTAGTTTTTGGTATATACAGCGTCGTTTGACTGCTTTTGTTCACTTGAGGGATAGCTGAGGAAGACAACATGCTCTTCGTTTTGTTTTCCTTTTTGGTTACGTGTGAGAGCATATCATCACACTTTTCTAATTGGTATACAGCATACTTTCAAAAACGTCTGTGAATACGTGCTATCATTATGTACTTTGGATATGTGTCGAAAGTAATAGACCGTCTACAGGCGGCTTTGAACCGCGCCGCGTTTGGTATCCAAAAGGTCCCGCTGGCCGTCGCCTTCGCTCAGCGCCGTCCGGTCCCACCAGAAGCGGCACTGTGCCAGTTCATAGTCGGAGAGGCTCCGGAGGGCCGCTGCCGTGCCCGGCTTCGCCTCGGGCCCACCCGTGCGTTGTTCCGGCGGCACCCGCTCGTCGTTGCCCTGCCCAAACACCATGAGCAAACCTTTACCGTCACCGCTTGCCCGTGACAAAGGGGACACGAAGGGTGCCCAGGGCACAGCCGCGGCGCCCTCTTCGCCCTTTTCGCCGTCCCCATTGGGGTTGCCGACGGGGCTGGCCGCAAACCGCACCCACGCGCCGTGCATGGCATCGGCCACGGCCAGCAGGCCCGGGTGGCCCCGCAGCACGGCCATGCTGTGCGCCACGCACGACTGGTTGTCGCCGTGGTTGGCCGTGTTCCAGTGCAAGGCACGCGCCGCATACTCGTACAGGTACACGTTGCTGCTGTTGCTGTTGGCGGGGTTCGTCGACAGGTAGTGCGCCGTCTGCATGACGGGGCAGATGTAGGCATAGTGGGCGTACGCAGCTTCGAGGCGGGCCCACTGGCGGCCGGTGACACCCGGTGGGTAGGGTGTCGGCATGACGTACGGCGAGGTCTCGGGGTGTGTGACGGGGTCCGGGTACACGCGCGCCAGCTCGTCGAGGTCGTCGCTCGTCAGGCCGGGGACGAGGTCGGCAAAGAACGTGCGGAAGTCGGCATCGGTGTCGGCGCGGCCGACGTCACCCGGCACAAACAGGGTCCCCTCGTTGGTGTTGAAGCCGGTCAGGATGGGGATGCGGGGTGCAGCGCCGGCTTGCCAGGCGCGCAGAGGCGTCTGGCGAATCACATGGCCGTCCACGACGGGCTGGAACGGCCAGCAGACGCTGGCGGCGTAGTCGTTCCAGACCGTGCGGCTGGCGGCGACGATGGCCGACAGCGGCAGGCCGCGCAGGTACGCGAGGATGTCGCGATGCTCCTGTGCGCCGCCGGCCGTCCGCAGGCTGCGCTGGTCTTGCGCAAACGCGCCGGCGGCCACGAGGAACGCACGCAGCTGCGACCGAGGCCGCGGGTGATCCGGCCTCCACAGGGAGCGGGCCGTGGGCGCACCAGACTCGAGGATGGCCTTGTGCAAAGGCGCCTTGCCAGGGGGGTAGTGAAGGATGTGATGCCCAATCTATAAAAGAAACGGAGACGACGTGGTCGGGTCAGCAAACATGGAACATTCAAGTGCAAGGGACGTCGAATGACTCACCGAATGCGCACCGGCGCTCAGCCCCATGATGGTGACGTTGTTGGGGTCGCCGCCAAAGCAGCGGATGTTCTTCTGCACCCACGAAAAGAGCAGCTGCTGATCCTGGAGGCCCAGGTTCAATGGTGCACTACTATCGTCGGCGCTGTTGCCGTCCTTGCCGTCCTCGCCGTCCTCGGCAGCCGTCTGCCAGCCAAGGAAGCCCAGGGCACCGACGCGGTAGTTGAAGCTGACGCCCACGACGTCGCGCTCTGCATACGCCACGAAGCTCGCCATGTCGCGCTCGACGCCCATGCCATTGTTAAAGGCACCGCCGTGCACGTAGACGACGACGGGCAAGGGCCCTGCAGGAAGGCGCGTCTCCTGGCCCGCCGTCTGTCCCGCCGTCTGTCCCGACCACGATGGCCGGTACACATTCGCGTTGAGGCAGTCCTCGCCCTCGGGGACAAACGGGTTGGGCGCCACGCCGGGGCACCGCTGGCCCAATTGCGTGGCCGGAATCACGCGGCTGTGCCGGTCGCCCGTGCCCCGCGCGTCCACGACCACGGGCTCGGGCGCCCGGAAGCGGTTGCCGCCCGCCGTCGACTTTGCATACGGGATGCCGAGGAAGACGTCGAGTGCTTTTGGCAGGGCCGCCTGCTGCGGGATCGGGAGAGGCTCCCCAGAGGACGAGGACGAGGCTGAGGCGGCTGGCGTCGGCGAGCTGGACCCGCCCGCGCTGACGCCCAAGCCGAGGCCGGCCGCCTCAACAACGTTCTGGCCAGCGGCCACCACGCGCCCTTCGTAGGTGCCCTGGGGCAGGCGCACGCAGGGCGGTGCGCGACCGGCCGGGTCAGCCGCTGCTGGTTTGCCGCGGGTGGTGTGAGGTGCCATGGCGCCGCTGCTTTGTCGAATCCGTGTTTGCCGATGGTGCTGGAGGCATCGGGCCGCGATTGCACCTGTGAAAGCCACCGAGAGGAAAGCCCAAGAGAGCCAGGAAGCGTGCTCGAGGTGGATGGAAGGCGAGCCCATCGTGTCGGTTGTTGCTTGCTTATTGCTTATGGTCTGGCACTATGCAGCCGCGCCGGTTGCGGGATGGTGCTCAGCTTGCTGTGGTGGCTTCTCCGCATCTCCGTTGTGCCAAAAAAGCAAAGCTTAGGTTGTATTGACGCCAAAATGCAGGCCCATTTGTGTGGGCGCATGTTTAGCCCGCTCCAATGGTGAAATATCGGCACTAATAAGCCGGACCGCTCAGGGTAAGTGCTTTGTTGGACTGTAACCCAATACGAGGTCGTTGTGCTCCGTTCTCCAGGATGCAACATTGTTCGGAATATTGGTCACTAACACCGTCCCTTTCTCGCCCACCTGACTGCGAGAAACATCATCAAAACACGAAAAAGCAGCAACTTTAAATGCTGTAGGCCCGTGATAATGGGTAATTTGACATCAATTTTTTTACAATGTATTTTTATAAGAAACGACGTGATTATACCGAAGATGACGTTGAACGCGCTCTCTGAGCGATAGAAAACGACTTTTCTATAGGGTCACTCATTTTCTGCCAAGTCTCAAGTCGCCTTTGATACGGTAAGAGTAATTCGTTGATTGCATAATACTGTTCCAATGAGACCAAACATACTCAAAAGTAAACAAGACTCAAAACACTACCAAGAATAAAAGCGCTTGGTTTCGTCCCACAGTTAGATCTTCGACCGTTCACTTTGACCTCGATCCACTGTGCCCTACAGCCTGTCCAAAACGCCCTCACAAAAGACAGACACAACAAAGGAAACGTGCACGCTCGCGTTTGCGTGGCTAGCAGTAATGGATGACATCGATCCCAAATGGATATGCCGGTGGAAACGACGGAGATACAAGAAAAGAAAGCCTCAATGACTCGCACAAACACCGGTGCTTGAAATCAGAAACAAAGGAGCGTGGAGAAACAGAGAGAGTAGGAAAAAGAAAATGAACGAATGTTTGTCGTTAATCATAGTGGCCCTTCGTGGTCTCTACCACCAGTAGCTGTTTTCATGCCGTCGTGGCCTTCTTGGCCTTCAGCTTCTGTCTTTCGGCCCACTCTCGGCTGAGCGCCCTAGATCTCTCAGCTGCCTCCTGACGGGCCTGCCTGGCGATCGCTTCACGTTCCCGCTTCTCACGGTCGCGATCCGAAGACAGGATGCTGTCTCGCTGGAGAATCTCTCTGCCTCGTAGCTTTTGGTACTGCACATCTTCCACCGAGATTGTGCTCCGCTTTCCGCTGATGCTACCAGTGGATGTCGACGTAGCCCTGCTCATCTGTCCGGCTGCTGTGGGCGACGATCCCAGCGCTGGTCCGCGCCCACGAGTCACCTGGCCCGAGCTGTTGGTACGGCCCGCCGAGTCTGACGAGATGACTGACAAACGTCTGTTTGCCGGTGACGCAGACCCCGGCACCGCAGATCCCGGCACGCTTAGACCACCACTTGCCATGCTGGCTTCGCCAATGATGGAGGTCCGCTTCGTTCGGGCACGACTGGAGATGGTCTCACGCGGGACTGTGCTCGGCGTGACGCTCAGTCGAACGGGCCTCGCCTTGAATTCGCGCCGCTTCTTTTCTTCTTCCTCTTGCCGCCTGAGCTTGGCTTCGTGCTCTTCTCTCTTGCGTCTAGAAATTGCTTCTCCGGGAAGCTCAAAGGTTGGGATCGTCGGTGGCTTTACCGACCGAGCCTTGCGAAACTGCCCTGTCTTTGTCGTGGTTGGTTTGGCCCCAACAGCCGCCGCCGCAGCGGCTGCTGACATGCGAGCCTCGCGTTGTTCCTTTAGTCTGCGTGCCACAGCCTCACCTGGAAGCTCAAATGTCGATGTTGTAGGCGGCTTGCTCGACTTTACTGGCGGTTTCGGCGGAAGTAGACTCAGCGGGCGAGCAACACTCAACCTCTTCGTAGCAGCGCTAGTCGTGGCAGCCGGTGTCTCCTCCGTTGACTTCGTCGCCGGGTCAGGGGCGCCGGCTGACTTACGCACTGATGACGTTCGGGCTACGCCAGAGGGTCTTGAGCGAACAGTGCCCGTTTTGGTAGTCGAATTTTGGGTGTCAGCGGCGCCGTGGCCCGGGCTTCGGCGGTCAAAGGCCTCTTTGTCTGGTGACGCCACGCGCTTGACACGAACCATACGATGTACCGCTTCGAACTGGTCCTCTAGTCTGTCCAGCTCCTCCAGGGTATCCTCGATACGCGCAACAGAGCTACCAGGTGAACGCGGTACGGACTGTGCCCGCTCATAGGAGCCTTGATCAAGTGGTGCCCCAACTGGTTTGGGCGAGAGGCCGCTGAAGTCCGCCGGTACCACGCCTGTGGAATTTGGAGGTAGGAGCGTATCGATCATGGTTTCTGCTGGAGCGTGAATGTCGTTTACCTCTGCACGGTTGCTCAAGGGTGTAGCAATGAGAGTATATGTATTGACTGCTCGGTCTCTGCCTGTGACAGAGCTTCGGGATAGCGATCTCTGCCGCAAGATGTTGCAGCCAAAGTACACTTTTCGGTCTTGACTGGCGCTGTCTGCCAGATCGGTAGCCGAGCAAATGCGGCGCAAGTGCTTATCTCCAACGAAATTGCCAGCGTCGCGAGGAAGAGAGAGAATCCAGTTAAAGTTCTTTGCGTCGTGTTGTTGAATGGTGGACTGTATATCAGACTCCGATAAAAGCGCAGAAAATGACTCGCGTCTGACTGAACCTGGACGCATCGCATGTCAATCATGACATCGGGTTGCTAAATACTACAGGATGGTTAAACGTACCTGTCAGACTTGGACCTCCTTCAACACTGTCGCAAGGCTGTTCCGGCAGAGCGAAGTGGGCGTGCTTTGCGTTGCGGGCCGATTTCTGAAGCTTGGGGCTATGTGGCGACGCAGAAACGGTCTCTTGCGTCTGCCGTACGGTGACCTTACTGAGTTCCGAAGTGACCGCTTCCTTCTCGGGAGGGCTGTAAATGTGAAAGTTACTCAGAACGTCGGCCAGCGAGTCTGGGGTGGCGATGCTTGCTGGAACGTGGACGTCGGCCTTGGCCTTGGGATGCCGGTTGCGTGAAGTAGGAACCTGTGCTAGGTTCTGTACATTCTGCAACGCTCCAATGCTCAGTTCCTCCAGATAAGATGAACGAACGGGTGTATTGGGGTCCTTGTCATCCGAGATCGTAGGCGTCGAAGGTGCTCCAACAAGTCTGGAAGGACTGACGTTCTCAGAACCCGTCACGAAACCAGCATGATTTGTGGGTTGTAGTTGGGGGGCCATGTGGTCGAGGGCCATCGAGGCAGGGACGCCGCCCTTTTCTGCGATTCAATGAAGAAAAGGGGTCCCGGATTTATTCTTCAGAGGGGTCAGACCAGCGAGGGGGTGGAATCTTTGAAACAGTGTGCCTCAATCAGCGTCGACCGCGTGGAAGACGAGATCAAATTCCAATGAAACCAACGCTAACGGGTTGGTCCTGGGAGCTGGGCCCCTTCGGCCAAAAGAAACGAAACGGGTTTTCGGTACGAATTATTAGCAAGGGGGTTGTGGAAGGGCACAAGGGGGCAGCAATTTCGTGGGAGAGGGAATTGGGAAAAGCGCCAACTCGGGGCCAGGGGTGGGTGGTCGCGAGTCGTGAAACGGCTCGCTGCTGATATTCGGCGCTCTTATGCCTTCGGGTTTGGTGTGATTGATTGCCAGAAACATGAGGCTAAAATGCAAATGTGTCACCGCGATTGGAGGCTGTAGAGATAGGTTTGTAGAAGAGTTTTGAAGCAGAGGGAAAACAGTTTGTTGAGGTGGAGATGTTGCGTTTTTGTGTTGCTCCCCGATCGTAGATTTTGTTTATATTTGTGCAACTGGAAGCTGTTCGCTCCTTCCGTTTTCTTGCCCTCCTGCAGCTTTTTCGCGCACTTTCCGTGTTGACAGCAAATAGTCGCGTCGCGAGTGCGGGAAGGTGCAGGTGGGACGGTAAGTGTAACGGAGAGGATGACGGAGCATACGCTTCTGCAAGTCCGTCACACTCCTTCCTTATAATGATCGTACGTAGTGCGAGTGCTCTTGACACTCAATAATAAGTCGGCTATTATTTATTGCCCTCGCAGCTGAGACGGCGAGTGCAGTCTGAGGGGACACATATGTTGTACAGAGTGATACGACGCGGACTGCTTTGTTCTTCAATAGGTTCATTACTCATACAATTATCGTCTTGTCATATAACGTTCCCTTAACCTTTTCCGCGAATCTATCAGAAACACCTGTTGGAAGGGTTTTGTTGCAACCTGTAAACAGCCAATATGACTAATAAACGCGTTTTTGACGCGACTTGCCGCTTTGACAACGCGTGCTGTTAGCCGTTGACGAAAGTGGGGCACGCACCACCAACTTTCGGAGCCAGTTTGGCAACGGCGACCATTTTGGCGGTTGATAACAGAGGCGCGACGGACAGCGACCATGGGCCTTCTGAAGTGGTTGGTAGCGTCCGTAGCTGACGGTCTGGAGCAACAAATAACTGGCGTAGCATCTCTTGTGCTGGGCAGCTCTTTTCAAAAGTAGGGGGCTGCCATGAGCCTCATGATGCCTCGCCCTCTTCTTCCAAAGCGGCAGCGGCAGCGGCCTCGTCTGCTTGTGCTTGCAGGCTCGGAGCGTGTTCCGTGGGAATGCGCACGAGCATCTGCGGAAGGGAAACGGAGCTGTCCTCGTTCTCTGTCGGCGCCCGGGGCAGTTTTGCTTCATTGTGTTAGAGATTCAGAATGCCAACAAATACGTGTAGCTATGCCCGCATGCAGATAACCTACTTGATGCCATATTGATTGCCCGCAGCACATTATGCCAGTTGGCCATCACGGTTGCAATCGCTGCGATGCTACTGTTAGCAATCAGTCTCGAACCGGTCAAGAGCATCCGGTGCTGTCGTGGCTCAATTTGCATACCTTCGGTTCCGTCAGACAGTGTCGATAGCTTCTCTTCGAGCGCCTCCATTTGCGAGGCCACCGCAGCACTGAGGTCGCGCAGCTGCTTCAGGTTCTCGAGCTCCTCGCGCTTTTCGTTGACGCGCGCCTGGAGCGACATGCCTGTCGATGCGCCAGGCACAGATGTCTGCCGCAGGTGCCCAGACGGTATCGATCGTGAAGAGAAGGCCATTGTCGCCGCATCTGTATGCACTTTATACTAGCTGTACGTTGTGGCGCGTCGGATGTTGCCAAAAGCTGTTGACAGCAAACGGGAGCAAGCAAGCAGGTCCAAACTTGGATATCGAATAGCCACTATTATGCGACTGGGGATGTCGCAACTGTAATTCGTATGGCGGGGCATTGTTGATTGGAATGTGGCTTGTGCGTGGTGAGCCACACTACCGGCCCAGACAGGTTGGGGCTGCCCGGCCAACCCTCCTGCCCAAATAAGATTGGCGTAAACAACACCCCGTAAAATTAATCGAGAAGGTGCCAATGGCACCAGGCACCATACAACCGGCGGTAGACAAAACGGCCCGGGACAAAAAAAGGCCTGTTGTTTGCATGCATCGGAAATACTAACAAAGCAGCTTCGAATCGCGAGCTTTTGTCGCGCGACCAAATTCCGCCCTTGGACAACGACGACACCACTTCCTCTCGCACTCTTCCCCTCCGGCACCGCTTCGCCATTGCCCGACACACTCCACGATATTGCTGTCGTCCTCTTTGTCTCTACGTCGGTCTCCTCACCGTTATGAGAGATGGCGCGACTGAACGAATCCCCTGCGCTGGTCGATAGCTACGACAACTGTGCGTGAAGCCATTGTTTTTCTTTTCGGAAGACATCGTTGCCTCCTTGGACTTGTCTCCTTTGTTAACGTAAACAGTGCGGCGCAAGTTCCTGCGCCAGAACAGAGACATCGCTCGTGTCAACTCGAACCAGTCGCTTCGCATCCGCGGCCTCGAAAACGAATGCGCACGACTCCTGTCCGAAAACCTCGAGCTGCGTGGTCAGGTCTTGCGCCTTGAAAAGGAGATCGACGACAACAAGTCCCAGCGCGTGGCCGACCATGCCCTGCAGATAAAACAAAAGATGGAGGCCCAGCTCTTCGAATTGGGCTCTCTCCTTGCCACCTTTGGCCTCGAACCACCGACCAAGAGACAGTCGCCCGTGCCTCTACGACGCGCCGATAAGCCCGCAAGACTGAGCCTGTCGAGGGAGGCCGTGTCGCCGCTGCAGAGAAAACCGCCTGCTCTTTCGCCGAGCGAGGCAGAGAGTCTTGCGATCCAAGAAGGCCGCCTGCCGCCAATCTACGAAACTAAGAGCTTCCCGCGGAAGACTCTCAGGTACGTCCTGGGTTTTGTGTCTTATGAATTGTCCTCACTTGCTCGTAGTGCTGACGAATACCCCTAGCCGAGACGAAATCCTTGCCATCCAGTCCGACGATAGTGAAACGGCTGATTCCCCCGTGCTTGGCCCTCCACCAGTCTCTCGCCTCCTCCACGTTGACTCGACGATTTCAGTGGACCCGACGAAGAAAACAACGGCCAATACCGTCCAAAAAGCTGAGCCCGCACCGAAGCTCAAGACAACTGCTACAGTGAAAGAGCCCTCCAATGGCACCAAGGTGGAGGAAGTACATGTAGCCAAGGTCTCGCAACCAGCACCACCTCCCAGTATCGCAAAGTCGAAATCCGAGCCTGAGACAACGGCCATTACCATTCACACCGTAAGCACAACCGCAAAAACGGTACAACCAACATCGGCGCCCGAAACTGCTGCTGCCCCGATCTCTGCCGCCCCCGCCGCACCAGCTGCAGTGGCTTCTACCCCGTCTTCAAAACCCGCTGGAAAGAGAAAGTTCGCTGTCAATGATGAGAACGCTGTTGCTCGTGGGATGAAGGCCGGCGAGGCGAATAGCAAGGCGTCGGCACCAATTGATCGCAGTGTGCCAACACGGGAGCTGAAAAATCCGAAGAGCATAAGAAGCCTCGTCAACAGTCGTAAGGAGTCGAATGAAACCACCGGCGAAGTCAAGACTGCTGTGGGAGGACGCAAGCCCCTTGCTGCCAAGAACGCCAATGAAGATATCTCGTCGCCTCGGAAGCAGGCTCTGAACGACGCATCCGGAAAGCACAAGGGAGGTAACGGAAACACCCACAAAGCGGTACAACTTGGAGGCCGTATGCGGAACCGCATGAAGTCGCCCTTGGTCGTGGATATTTCGGAAACAACACCACCGGCTGCTGTTGACGTCAAGGTCGATGATGACAAGAGCGACAACACCCGCAAGCCTACTACACCTCTGTCCTCTAATGACCAAGCACCAGGACACGTCGATGTCGACAGCGAGCCATTGCCCGAACTTGAACCAGAAGCCCCGTGTCCTTGCACACCATCCCCTGCAACGGCAAAAATTCTCACCTCTCAGCGCCTCGTACCTACACACGTTGAAGGCCGCGACACCCCGCCGCCGGCTGACATTTCCTCCCATGGCGAGACGTCTCGGCCTAATAGACGATCACGCGCCTCGGTCAGTTATGCAGAGCCCAACCTGCGGGACAAAATGCGTCGTCCGACAAAGGAGCTCTTCGACGCTGTCGCAGGCGAAGGGAAATACGTTCAGCGCCAGAGTCACCAGCCCCACCAAGATGGGCAAGATATAGCAGCGATGCCCACGGTTGCGAAATCCGATTTGCTCGTTCTGCGGCCCCACGAGCAACAATCCAAGGAGGACAAGGCTGCACAGGCTCAGCATGTCACGGATTCGGACAAGCACCAGCCACGAGCGTCTTCAGTCGGAGAGCAAAAGGCAGTCAACAAGCCCGACTCCGAAGCTGAGTTGACAAACAGTTCAGCGGCTGACCAGGACCCGTATGAGTTTACGGTCGCTTCATCTCCATCCCAAGAGGCGGAGGACGAGGAGTGCGAAGCTAGCATGGGCAAGGCGAGAGATGGATCAAGAAAGTCGGCTTCTTCTCGGGCTTCTCTCAAAACCACGCGGCGGTCTTCGACGACAAATGCACGGGAAGATGGCACTTCGTCGGCGGATCGGCATACCCGGCCATCAGCAGCACGCAAGCGGGCGTCAATGGTTGGGATGAAAAGAGGATCCATGCTCGAAGACGATGAAGAAGATGCTGCCGACTCCTCCTACGAGCCACCTGTGGAAAGAGATGACGGTCAAGCCATAGAGGCCCGGGCACTATCAACACGGGACAGGATATCACGGCGACGGAGCATGATGCTATAATGATTGAGACGATGGAGTAGAACACCACACTCAAGTGGCCAGACGCGAGCATGGTGTTTCGGCGTTGTCCTTTTTTATTTTATACGAACAACCCTCCTTGTTTGCGTTGTCATTCCTTGCCTTCAGATTCCTGCTTTTATGTTTTCTTTTTGGCTCTTCTTGGTTTACTTGCATTTGTTGCTTCCGTTGTATTTGGAAACTTTGCGACTGCGGCCGACCGTTTTATTTTTTAGGATATCCTATTTGCCACTCATTTTCTCTGTTTTTAATGGAATGCCTTACTTTGGCAAGCTTTGATGAAACTCTCAAAATTCCATCCTTGTACTACGTGGCATGTATCAAAAGCTTTCTTCTGGCCAGAGCGAAACCCGTCGGTGATTCAAACAGACATTTGCCTAGTAAAAGTGGTATATACAGGTGTCGTCTCCGGAAAGGTAAACACAAAATAGCAAGTTACTCACGTCTGCTACAAGATAAAAACGAAACGCCAACAACAAACGAACTGAAAGCCAGAAAGCACAGACATCAAAGGTTATACCCCCCCTTTTCTCGTCCCTGCGCTTATGAGGCCGATCCTGTCGGCTGTACAGGCTTTGAATATGTCACCTTCTCCACTGCAACGCTTTCCGTGCCATTGGCGTCTTTGCGCAGTTGGTAGACATACAACGTAAGCGAGATGCCCTGGACGTCCATGAGGCAGAAGCTCGGCACGACCTCGTCCTCGGGCTTGTCCCCATCACCGCCCCAGCCAGAAAAGTAGGCGCCCGTTGCGCTGCCAGGATTGATGAAGAACTTGTCCATGTACTCGAAACATTCAAACTTGTGGGTGCCGCCCCAGCAGAGCACGTCCACGTCCAGGCGATTGGCTTCGGCCAGCAGCAGATCGGGCTCGTTGCTAACGAGCGTGAAGCCTTCGAGGAAACCCACGCGGATGGCGCCGTGGGTGACGACCTGGGTCAGGGGCAGGGCGGTGGCCTCGACATCGAAGCGGCCCTTAACAATCTTGAGATCCGGCGCCACGGACCGTAGGTACTCGTAGGTGTGCTTGTCGGTGAGGTTGCCGAGACAAAGGGTCTGGCCAATCTTTCCTGGTGCAAGAAGCTTCTTGAACTGCCAAACGAGGACGCCGTGTTAGAGCACAGAACGCAGAAAAAAAAGAGGCAATCCGCTAGATTCAGGAAACGCTGGCAAGCCTACCTTTGCGGGAATGTCCAGTGCCCGGTCTGGGATGTGCAGGTCGCCGATGACAAGAATGAGGAACGCCATGGTGACTGAAGGACGCCCGCTAGACTGGTGTGTCCTTCTGTTCAATGGCGAATCCGCAGTGTATGGAGCGAGTGTCGGTGCACTCCGAGGGCGCCAACACGGGGAAGGGGGCAAGACGAGCCGCCCAGTTCCGTTGCTTCGCAGCCGATCGCGGTCGACGCAGGCGGTCTGCAGCGGGTCTAGATGAGAAGAGGGTGCGCACGAGGGTTGCTTTTGCTTTGCTGTCGCCAGTTGCTGTGTTGCCAGAGAAGGGCTGTCGACGAATGCGGTTGAGAGAGGGAGTATCCCGTCGCATGCCGTGGCCCAATCGGTCTTGCCTAGAATTGTCGCCTGCTAGTGGCACGTAAGCGACAGGAGTGGCTGGGCCGCGTTGCTGCCTCTTCTGGAAAGCTTTCCCAAGAAGGCAAGCTCCAGCACTCCACCTTCCCTTTTCCCCCAAATTTTCATCAGCCACTAGGACATCGCTGGACACCAAGCCACAGGACCTGGAAACGACCCCGAAAATCGGAACCGGGGGCAACAATAGAGAACCAAGCATCAGTGGACGACCCCTCTCGGGCGGGGCTGTCGTCTTTAATGGAGCAGCGCGTGGGAGCCGGCAAATTCGCTCCTCTCCGTACGATACCAGAGAGTACCTGAAAGTGCCTTTGGCGGACGGCGTTCGTTCGGAGATTTAGGGCCTACACTCTCGTAAAGGGGTTCTCTAATCCCGGAGGCATCATAAAAGCGCAACCTCCAAAAGACAGGCGGGCAGGCACCACCCGCAGGACTTTGAGACGGGAAAGCGCCATCCAGCGGAGGAAGGAACAACTGAACACTGCCCAAGCCCGCCGCACCTGTTTATCCGTGGAAACCAGCGCCGTGCCGCCCAATTGACGCAATTCTCCGGATTTATTTTCCTTTTTTAATGCCTCCGGGTCGTCTACCTCCTCTCGTTTTGTCTCCTCTCTCCCGTTCACAATGCAGCCTCTCACCATCGTCCGTCGTGCGCGCTGGCCTTGTTCCTTCCTGCCGAGTCGCCAACAAAGTACCTTCCTTAGTGCGTGGTCGTGGTCGTCTTCAGCCACTTGGAAGGCAATATTACTAAGTCAGGCAGGAGCAGCAGGCACGCCAACAGCAACAAAAGCAAGTTCTGCGACGGCAATCACAGGCGAAGGCGGAACCCAACGCGCCTTCCACAGCGGCGCTACTGCTGCCAGAATTATGGTCCCCCCCCATCGCCGTGTCACCGATGACAGCCCCTCTGTACATCGGTTAGCAGGGATTGCTGGGCACTTGTCCGCCTCCTCGGCTTATCGACCGTCTACTACTTATTCCTCGCCCACCCCGTCAACATCAACAGTCAACCGTCGTCTGCATACCACAACTACCGCTTCATCGCCCAAAATGTCGTCACAGTCGGATCACCCCACACTGCTCATTCCGGGCCCCATTGAGTTCGATGATGCCGTCCTCAACTCCATGAGCCACTACAGGTAAGCGGCTTCTGCATGTGATTTTTGGGTGGGGGGAGAGGACGGATATGCTCTTCGTTTTGCAATTGTTTTCTGTCGTGACGTCTTTTTTCCATCGTCGCGCGGCCTTACTTGACGTACGAGAACATCCTCATCTAACTGTCACAGCGAGAGCCATGTCGGCCCGGCATTTGTTTCCGTCTTCGGCGAAGTCCTCTCGGGCCTCCGCAAACTCTTCCAGTCCACCGACCCGGCCGCTCAGCCGTTTGTTATCTCCGGCTCCGGCACCCTTGGCTGGGACATTGTCGGTGCCAACCTGATCGAGAAGGGTGAGGCCGCACTCGTCCTCGGCACCGGCTACTTCAGCGACGGCTTCGCCAACGCCCTCCGCACCTACGGCGCTGATGTCACGGAGCTCAAGGCGCCCGTCGGCAGCCGCCCCCAGCTGCCCGACATCGAGGCCGCCCTCAAGGCGAAGCAGTATAAGCTGCTGACCGTCACGCACGTCGACACCTCCACCGGCGTCCTGAGCGAGCTCCGCAGCTTGTCCGAGCTCGTCCACCGCGTCTCGCCGGACACGCTCGTCATTGTGGACGGCGTGTGCTCGGTCGCCTGCGAGGAAATTGCCTTTGACGACTGGAAGCTGGACGGTGTCGTCACGGCCAGCCAGAAGGCCATTGGCGTCCCCGCTGGGCTGTCCATCTCCTTCTTCAGCGGCCGCGCCCTCCGGGCTGTGGAAAACCGCAAGACGCCGCCCGCCGCGTACTATGCGTCGATCCAAAACTGGCTGCCGATTATGCGAAACTACGAGGCCAAGAAGCCGTCCTACTTTGCGACGCCGTCCCCCCAGCTCGTTCACGCCCTCCACACCTCCCTGGGCCAAATCCTCTCTGTGCCCCTGGCGGAGCGCTTCGCCAAGCACAAGGCGGCCTCGGACAAGATCAAGGCCGCCATCACCAGCCTGGGCCTGAAGCAGGTCGCCTCGAAGCCCGAGGACCAGGCGCACGCCATGACCGCCATCTACCTGCCGGAGTCGATCCAGATCGCGCAGATCCTGCCCAGCCTGGGCAAGAAGAACGTTGTCTTTGCCGGCGGCATCCACAAGGAAATTGCCACCAAGTACATTCGTTTTGGCCACATGGGTGTCAGCATTGTAAGTCGATTCCGCGCGGTCCATGTGTCCTGCCAAGTCGGGTCTTCCCATCAACCACTGCACAGACTAACGACCGCCGCAGCTGGAGCCCGAGAGAGGCCACGTCGAGCGTGCGCTCAAGGCGCTCGAGGAGAGTTTGGCCGAGTTTGGTTACCAAAAAGCATAGATCGAGCCTCTGTAGAAAGTAAATACTATCCCTGTCAAGGTCTCCTTCAATTGATTCGAATACCAAAGGTTATGCTCTATTTTGTCTGGTGTGTAAACGGCTTATGGCAGGTCGCAGGGGTCGTAATTTGTCTTTGAGTCTGTGTTAACAAATCATTTATGTACGAGGTTTGTAGGCGGCTACCAGCTGCTCGGCACCAAAGTTCACCTCGATCACAATTAAATTTTAAATTGAACACAGACACACGCCATGTGAATTTACAAGTCCAGAACCCCCTGGTTTCCAGGTGCGTTTCGTGTGAAAAGTCGCCGACAGCCAGTCTTTTGCACTGCCCAGCATAGAGTGGTCAAGTCGTTCCAACTTCGCCCTACCAAATTACTAATAACAGGAAGTGAAAAGGTCGCAAGTAGCAATGCCTTCAAAAGTGCAGACGGGGTACGAAATACAATGCGTTCACGCTCTCTCAGCCGGTGGAGGGTGAGGGGCGAACGGTCAAAATGGCCCAACGAAACCCGGCGCCCAATCCCCTCGTCGCAGTAAAAGCCACAGAGCTTCCCGCCATCAGCTCCCAACTCTCCCCAAGACGCAGCTCCAGTAGCGCCTGGTTGCTAATCAAATGTGAAAAATCGCGGGGCTGTCCAAAGCTGTCGGTTAAGCCTGGTTCACGGCCTGGCTTCATCTGCCCTCCGTAGCCCTGCGTTGTCTCCATACCGGGCCTCCGCCCCTCTCGCCTTCCCTTTCCGCTGCTGTCCTCTTGTTGTCCTCTTGCTGTTGTAGTGCAGTTTCTTGCTGCGCCAAAGTCGATTCGCTTTGCCTGTCGCTCTTGCCTGCTGCTGTTGCTAGCCGTATCTTACCGCCTGCCCTCCCAGAGACCCCGCCACCTCACTTTTCCTCCTCCCATTCTCCGCCTACGCACGACACTTGTTCCTACCCTTTCGTCCCTCCCATCTCGATCCTTCCTTTTTCACTCTCCCTCCCCCCCTGCGCACTCTTTCTGCCGACCTGCACCTGCCGACGACATCATCACGAAGGCTCCTCTCTCTTCCGACAGCATTTCTTCGCCTACAACCTCACCGAAACGCCCACAACATTCTGCTTTGACTCCTCCACCACCACACCCTTCACCACACGCAGTCTAGCAGCCAACGAAATCGAAACGCGTAAGACAGCGAGCGCGTTGCTTGTCTCGCGGGCGCTTTTTCTTGTATCGCTTCTTACAACTCGACTTATTGTGGCCGACGACTCCTCCATTTACTCCCTTTCTTTCAATCTAAGCCTTTGTTTTGGTTGAGACGTTCAGCTTTGGCACGTACTCACTTTCTCGAAACATCCAAGGCCATTTGTGCATACAAAAGCTCCGCCCAGCGCATCCACCCGGCAAATCCTGTCCCCCCCACTCCGACAGCCTTCTCTGGACAACAAAATCTCGCCACTCTCGAGCTTGCCGTACCTAGTCCTTCTACTTACCTCACGAAGCAGTCGTCTAACCCCTCTCACCGTCTCTTCGATCCGACCTACATGAGCGCCCATTGCAGCCTGCACCGTCGCGCAATCGCTTACTGGGCCTAGATCTCCAACTGCAGCTGGTTTGCTGGGCCTTTCCTGGCAAACACCCGTGCCCATCCTCGACGCACTCTTTTCGCATTTGATATAATCTCCCTTGGGAACCTCTCCCGCGATGGCCCCCACCGTGGCAGAGCTCGATTCGGTCGTGCGCGCCTTCTATGAAGGCCGCGGCGAGCAGGTATGTCTTTCTCGGCCTTGTGATTTGTTTTCCTACCCGTGCCGCTTGTCGTGCCTTGTGTCGTAGCTGACGTATGCCTCGCCTTTCTCTGCTTTAGCAAAAAGCTGCCGAGAGCGCCCTGAACCAATTCAAAGAGGATCCTGACGCCTGGCTCATCGTCGACAAAATCCTTTCTGAGGCCACGTACCCACAAACAAAGTTTCTGGCGCTGCAGGTGCTCGACCATGTCATCATGACGAGATGGAAGGTCCTGCCGCGGGAACAGTGTCAAGGCATCCGCAACTTTGTCGTGCAGTTCATTATCCAGAGCTCCGACTCGGAAGAGGCCCTGCGCGAACACAAGACGCTGTTGAACAAGCTCAACCTTGTCCTGATCTCGATCCTGAAGCAGGAGTGGCCGCACAACTGGCCCACGTTTATCAACGAGATCATTACCGCCTGCCGCTCGAGCTTGTCGATTTGCGAGAACAACATGATCATCTTGCGCCTCCTCTCCGAGGAGGTCTTTGACTATTCCGCCGAGCAGATGACGTCTACAAAGACCCGCAACCTCAAGACCACCATGTGTGCCGAGTTCTCGCAGATCTTCCAGCTCTGCACCGAGATTCTCAACACGGCCACCCAGACCAGTCTGGTGAAGGCGACCCTCGAGACCCTGCTGCGCTTCTGCAACTGGATCCCTCTCGGTTACATTTTCGAGACGCCCCTCATCGACACCCTCCGCACACGTTTCCTTGAGGTGCCCGAGTTCCGCAACATCACGCTGCAGTGCCTGACCGAGATCGGCGGTCTGCAGACGTCGGGTCCGGGCCAAGTAGGCAACTACGACGAACAGCTCATCAAGATGTTCACTGAGGTCCTCACGACCATTGCCACCATCATTCCCTTGTCCATGGACCTGAAGACGACCTACCCGCAAAGCAATTCTCGGGATCAGGAATTCGTGCAGAACCTGGCACTCTTTTTGTGCAATTTCTTCACCATGCATCTCAACGTATGTATTTCGCCGTCCTGATACTCCTGATGCCCAGTGCACGTTGTAGAGCATGTACTGACCAATGGCTTGTACCACGCAGCTCATCGAGAATCTACCAAACCGCGACTTCCTCACCCACGCCCATTTCTACCTCATTCGCATTTCCCAGATTGACGACCGTGAGATCTTCAAGATCACCCTCGACTACTGGCTGAAGCTTGTCCAGGAGCTGTACGAGGAGATGCAGTCTCTTCCCATGTCCGAGGCGAACCCTCTTCTCGCCATGGGCACCCTTACCTCGAACGGCGCACCCAACCCGGCCCTCCTGAACAACTACCCTCTGCGGAAGCACAAGTACAAGGAGATCCTGTCAAACCTCCGCATCGTTATGATCGAGAAGATGGTGCGTCCTGAGGAGGTGCTGATTGTCGAGAACGACGAGGGCGAGATTGTTCGTGAGTTTGTCAAGGAAAGCGACACCGTGCAGCTGTACAAGACCATCCGCGAGTGTCTTGTCTACCTCACACATCTCGACGTTGTCGACACAGAGCAAATCATGACGGAGAAACTCGCGCGCCAGGTCGACGGCTCGGAGTGGTCATGGCATAACTGCAATGTACTCTGCTGGGCCATTGGTTCCATCTCGCTGGCCATGAACGAAGAGACGGAGAAGCGGTTCCTGGTTACCGTCATCAAGGACCTCCTGGGCCTTACGGAAATGAAGCGCGGCAAGGACAACAAGGCTGTCGTCGCGAGCAACATTATGTACATTGTCGGCCAGTATCCTCGCTTCCTGAAAGCCCACTGGAAGTTCCTGAAGACGGTCGTCAACAAGCTGTTCGAATTCATGCACGAATCGCATGAGGGCGTGCAGGACATGGCCTGTGACACATTCATCAAGATTGCCAAACAGTGCCGCCGCCACTTTGTCGCCCTTCAGCCTAGCGAGCAGGAGCCGTTCATCGATGAGATTGTTCGGAACCTCCAGAAAATCACCTGCGATCTGACGCCGCAGCAGGTGCACACATTCTACGAGGCCTGTGGTTATATGGTTTCTGCACAGGGCAACCGTAGCCAGCAGGAGCGTCTGCTTTCCGACCTCATGGCGCTACCCAACAGCGCATGGGACCAGATCATTAAGTCAGCCACAGCAGACCCTTCCATCCTCCAAGACTCCGACACGATCAAGATTATTGGCAACATCATGAAGACCAACGTTGCCGCGTGCACATCGATCGGTCCTTACTTTTACCCCCAGATCGGCCGCATCTACCTTGACCTCCTCCAGATGTACCGCGCCACCAGCCAACTTATCTCGGAGGCTGTAGCTCGTGACGGTAAGCATACGACGGTATTCTTTTTTTTGGTAAAAGAAGACAACCCAACGTGGGGTATACTAACATTTTGCAGGAGAAATTGCACCCAAGACGCCCAAGGTCCGCGGTCTGCGGACAATCAAGAAGGAGATTTTGAAGCTCATCGAGGTGTTTGTCGATAAGGCCGAGGAGCTCCAGGCAGTGCGCACGCAGATGGTCCCGCAGCTGCTCGACTCGGTTTTGGTCGATTACAACCGGAACGTCCCCAACGCCCGCGATGCAGAGGTGCTGAAGGCAATGGCAGCCATCATCTCAAAGCTGGGCAGCCTGATGGAAGACCAGGTGCCCATCATCATGGAGAACGTGTTCGAGTGCACGCTGGAGATGATCAACAAGGATTTCTCCGAGTTCCCCGAGCACCGTGTGGAGTTTTTCAATCTGCTGCGGGCTATCAACCTGCACTGCTTCCCAGCGCTCCTGAAGCTCGACAACCGCCAGTTCAAGTTTGTCATCGATGCTTGCCTGTGGGCTAGCAAGCACGACAACCGCGACGTCGAGGCCGCCGGTCTGGGTATGTGCCTGGAGCTGATCAACAACGTCGCCGAGAAGACGGACACATCGACTGCCAACGCGTTTTTCAACCAGTTCTTCATTCTCATCCTGCAGGACGTATTCTACGTTCTCACCGACACAGACCACAAGGCCGGCTTCAAGACCCAGTCATCGCTCCTGGTGCGAATGTTCTACCTCGTCGATCCCGCCGATGGCTCGGCTCCCAAGATCCAGGGCCCTATCTACCAGCCAGACCAGGCGCAGGCCAACACGCCCAACCGCGAGTTCCTGACCAACTACGTCGCCAACCTTCTGCGCAACGCCTTCAGCAACCTACAACCGTACGTTGTCCTACGTGTATTGTTTTATTGACTCATATCGCACCTGACCTTTGATTCTTACTAACGCAATGCAGTGGCCAAATTCAAGCCTTTGTGGAGAGCCTCTTCACGCTAAACACGCAGTACGACAAGTTCCGCTTAAGCTTGCGCGACTTCCTCATCTCGCTGCGGGAATTCTCAGGCGACAACGCCGAGCTGTATCTGGCCGAGAAGGAGCAGGCCGAGAGCGATGCCAAGCAGGCCGACATTGAGCGGCGGTCCAAGGTGTCTGGTCTGCTCAAGCCCTCTGAGCTTGACCAGGACGACGAACTGTGACTGGGCGAAGAGCTCAGGACCGAGTTTGCACCTGTATATTATGCGGACAGGGCATCGACGACAGCGCTAGGCACGAAGACTCTCGGGAACTCTGCAAGCAGTGCCAGTGCCCACAAGAAGGGCGTTCAAGACGACGACTTTGACGCTTGGGAGTTGTACGGCGTCTAAGTTTGGCAGTGGCGTGTCTGCCGGTTGGGTGCGCATTCTTGTCGCCTTTCAGCCCATGTACCGCTCCGGCGAAAATTATCGTTTCTTTTTGCAGTAGCTGCCATGCGTCGCGCCCTTTCTGTTGTCCGTTCGTCCCGTCGTCTTTTTCCTTTCTTACTCATATTTTGTTACATTTGCTATGCCTTTTTACTTTGTTTTTCTCTAATTTTGCTCACGTTTTTGCAACCGTTGGTATCTTCCTTCTTTCATTCCTGTTTGTGTCTCTTTGATTTTATTTATTGACTTGCGTCTGCACATCAAATTTCGAGAAAAAAAACTGGAAGGACAAAGGAAAAGGGATCGACAACTAGGGGCGATACCATTTAGAGGACGAAGAGGGGAAAATGATTGGGAGAGTGACGGAGTCTAGAAGGGCTAATATGAAGAAGATGGACAAAAGACAACAACGAAGCTTACGTTTAGAAAGTAAACATCGTTTCACCCCTCGCTTTCAGTCTTAGCCACTCGCTTGTATGCAGACATGAAATATACCAAATACTTACCATTAAATAAATGGAACGATCATACGTCAACTAATTATTCGACTTTTTTCAACCTTTTAGACCGTGTATGAGTGGACTTCTCCGGAGCTCAGACCAGATGGCGGAAACAGTCTGTGAATGCTCACAACACCTGTGTCATTCCATGTTGGTCGCAGCCGGACAAGCTGCAATTGAGTGGGCGGAGCGATCATGAGACCACGCAGACATGCACACATTTTCTCTCGTACACACCTTTTCGCTTTGTCTGTTATCTCTGGTCCGAAAATAAAGGGGGAGAAGACACAAAGAATGATAGAACTTGCAACTGCATCCGGCGTTGCGCCTGCGACCTTGAACAGATATTTCGTCACTTCTCGGCCGCCGTCGCTTGCCATTGACAACAAAGCGCGGTGATACTGGCCCGTCCCCGAAATGCGCTTTCGTCTCTTTTTGCTTCTTCCAACAAACCCTCTTGGTGTGGCTGAAAATGTCGCCATACTCGACGTGACTGCTTTTGGTTTCATGTGTGCCCGTTGGACGTGGAAGCACAAAGAAACACTTCAAACGAAAGACGTAGCCGCCGACAAACGCCCAAAGCCGAGGATCACAAGGGTCTCGATGCCAAACAGCTGGCGGATGCAGAAACGCCTCGCTCTCCCTGTCTACACAAATGCAAGCAACGAAGCGGCCGAAGACGGGCGTGCCACGTAAGAAGGCAGCCAACACACCATACAGAAACAGAAACGACCTTCCAACAATCGTCTTCGCCCTCCACCTTCGCCCCCTTTTTTTGCGGCGTGCGTCTGATTAAACTGATTCCGGGGGAAGAAGAAAAAGGCCGCCAAAGAAAAAGACAGAGAGAGATCGTCGACGCAGGTCCCAGGTTGATTGGCGATTTGTCTGCGTCTTGTTGGACCCGTGTTTTTGTCTTGACTATGACTTGCATACGGGCGCGTCCTCAAGGGCTCCTTGGTCGCGTTGTGTCTCATACGCCCGCGTTCAATATAGCTCTGGCAAGACGATGGCCGCTTTTCATGAGGTGCGTGTGAGGATGTTCGGCCATCTTGCCCACGCTGCCCCCTTTACCTGGACGCTCCCAGCCAGCTTGTCTGTCTCTCAGACCGTCGATGTCTTGCCGCTCCCCTTGCACCGAGCCGACAGTTCGTTCTTCGACACCGGCATATTGTCAATGAAAATTGAAATAAAAAAACTACGACTTACGCACAGCGAGCCTCAGACATTCGGCAGAACGAAACGTATTGCACCCGTCCGGCCCTCTTGGGCGTATTAAACATGAATCATCGAGAGATTGCACATTTACCATCGAGGGTTCTACAAGCTGAACAAGAGCCATGCATGTCATTTTCCAATTTACGCCGCACAGTTTCTAAATTGCATCGTACTCGTACACCATGAATGGCCTCGGGAATCTATTTGTCGCGCGTCTCGCCGAGATGGATCGGCCGCCGTTAAACATAGACAGTTGGGAACATCCCTGGTCGAGCTGATGTTTCTCATCTCTCCTGTCATTGATGTCTTACCTTTAGGAGGCCATTGGATGCATGTGCGAGCGTCTAGAGAATTAAGTTTAGTTGCTCCCAACTTGACAGCTTGGAGCTAGTCTGTGTGTCTCAGTTTGCATATGGATTCGCTTGGATCTTTCCCCTTTCCTTCCGTACGTTCTTTTTTTTTCTTGTTCTTCTTTTCTTTTTTGTTCTTGCATCCACTGTGTTCCCCTCGGCCAAGCTTCTCGCTCTCTCCTTGTCACACTTATTTTCGTCTTCTTTTCTTTTTTTCACTTTTCAAAATTTCATCCCTTTTTGGCTAACCTTGTCAAAATATGCAAGGGGTATTTTCCTTCTCCTTTTCCGTCGTCCTCCCGTCGCTTTCCATGCAGGTCAAGCCCTGTCAGGCACAGAAAAAAAATGTTGATCCGGATCCCATGGGTTGCTCTCAGCCCGACGGCACGAAACGGGTGGTTTGCGGTGTGGATGCATGGACATGTGTTTGCAGGATTTTTTCTTTTCTTTTTTTCTCTCCCCTTTCCTAGTGCGTCTGCACGCGGACCTGGATGATTGGGTAAGATATGATTATGGGTCGCTGTTTGGTGTGCTGTTCAATACTGCAGTGGTGCAGTGGTGCAGCGGTGCAGTGGTGCCGTGGCCGCCGTTTGGTGGCCGAGAAAGCCAGCGGGTGGCGGAGAGTGGGTATTTACAGTGGATACGGATACTGGAGGGTGGCGCCTCGGGAGACGGGAATGGGCGTGATGGGGTCGTATCGGCAGACGCCAGCAGAAGAGACTAATGCATGGGACCTGGGCTTTACTGAACTGGACTGGTCTTGACTGGCAGATGGGACCCAACTGGTCCTCGGGCTGCTGTGTGCGGCCTAACAGCTTGGGCTAGACCTTGAACTTGCCAGGGGTACAGGGGCGGGGCGGGAGCAAGAAAGATACCTAACGGACAACATCCAGGTCTGAAGAGTCACGAGAAAGAAAAACCAGGAAAGAGGAAAAAAAAGTCAGCAACCAAAGAAAACGTACAACATGGGGGGCCACGACTTTTTCTTGAAAGAGGGGGGAGGGACGCCTTCTTGTCGTATTGCCTTTTTTGTGCTCCTTTCGGCTCTTTTTGGTCTCCATTTTGTTTCGTTTACATTCACTCTTGTCGTATTGTTTTAGACCCAGACTGTTTTCTTTCTTTTTTTTGTTCTTTTTCTTTTTTATGTAGCTTCTTTCTTCCCCGCGTTGGTTCTCTTGCCCTTACATTTTAACGTCTTACTTTGTGAGCGTTGGAGCCTCGCAGCCTCGCAGCTTCACAGTTTCGCAACTTTAAGCTATGCAAAGGAACAAATACGACCTGCAAACGGCCTTGTGACCACACGAACCAGTCGCCGGTCTCCTTTCGGGGGCGACTTTGACTTTTTTCGCTTTTCGATCGTAGAGAGTGGAAACGAGATGAGCGCAAAAAAGCTCCGTTGGCATCAAGCCCCTGTCCTTGAGGTGGCAAGCTCTGGTTGGTTGGGTTCGGAGGACAGGATGATGGGAAGAAAAGACGAGGCAAGCAAAACAAATCTGACAGGAACAGCAGCACGGCCAAATGGCGAGTCTCATCCCATCTTTAGTTTTCCAATGTCTCTCCGGCCCGCCCTGTCTCTCGTCGCCCCGTCGACATTTCTTTCTTTTTCCTTTTGGAGCTGTGTCTCTCTGTTTCTATCCCTTTGGGAGATCCTCTACTTATTAATTTACCGCGACGGATGGCGCAACTAGTGCGAACAAGAAGATGATCTAGAAGGAAGAGATAGACCAGAGAAAAGAAATGTTTTCAAGAGCACATGGTACAGAGGTACTTCCAGACTGCACAGCTCATCACACGCTCACAAGTCACTCTCTATCGGATGTGGCCTTTGTCAACTCCTCGTCTGTTGTCCCTTGCTTTCGTCCGTTCGGGTTCACACCCACCCACCCACTCACACTCCCAGACCCCTGTTGTTCGCGTGCTAGCGTGGTTGTGTGTTCGTTGTACTCCGTATTAGTACCGCTTTTGGTTGAGCGCTGCCGTCATGCCGTCCGATTTTGCCTTTCCGGGTCCCACGATGGCGACCCCACGAGGAGACGACGTTTCTTGTGAGTGCGAGTGTGTGTGTTGGTGTGTGTGGGTGTCGTGGTCGATCTGTGCAAAAGACGCATTTGCCAACTGCTGCGACCGTCACGTTTTGACCGTCTTGCCGCGGCGGTTTTGCGTGTCGTTGTTTTGCGCGATGCGATTTGGTGTGAATGCTGTCTGTTTGTCGTGGCTGTCTTCTTTATTTCTTATTTCTCCCGTTTCTTTCCTTTTTCTTTTCCGCTTTTGCTTTTGCTCCCCCAATGTTGAACCCCTTCCTACTTTTGCCTCTCCCTTGTCTTCATGTTTTCCCTTACTCTCCCTTTACTTGAACCATTGTTCTCCCATACACTTATCCTTCCGTTCCTCACCAACATATTACCCTTTGCTTGTCCTACGCTTTTCCTGTACGCAGGCCAGACGGTATCTTACATCCTACACGAATGATTACATTCTACAATCTGGACATACATTGTCACAAGAGCACAAGACATACTACGTCGTACGCAATACACGTACAGAACAGCTTACACCAAGTTATAAGCTACAAAAACATTGCCGAACATTGACGGGAATCTTCTAGCACAAAGCAAAAGATCCAGGAAGACAACTACGCTTACTCGCACAACACCCGGGGTCACACAAATGGCGCTGCACCGGTTCAATAGCGTCGGCGGTGGCAGCCACGCCCAAAAGCCCAGACTATCGCCCAGAAAGTCGGCGTCCTCCTTGACCTCCCCGTCCTCGACGTCGGTCATGTCTGCACCAGGGTCGACACCCGCGTCAACCGTGTCGCCATTGCGGTCGTCACACCTCGTGGCCCTGCGGTACGAAGAGACCGTGCAGGCCAAGCCGCCTATCATGGTCACCCAGAGCAGAGGCGGCGGCGGCAGCAACAGCGGCAGCGGCAGTGCAACCAGCAGCGCGCTGTATCTGGTGCGCTCGCGGTCCACGCTGTCTACACGGTCCCTGGCCACGACGGCCACAGCCACCGCCACCGCCGCGGCTGCGTCGTCGCCGTCCGTGCCGCTCCAGACGCCGTCACTCTTGTCCTCGTCTGCCTCGTCTGCCTCGACGCCGTCGCCGTCGCCGTCGCCGTCTCCGTCCAAATCCACCGCGCCACGGTACCCATTGGTCATTCTGCGCCCGCCGGGCCTGATCGTGCCGCCCTCGGAGCAGCACCCGGCCCTCCGCACGCCGCCGTTCCATCCCATTGTCGAAGAGGGCGGCGACGCCAGCGAGGAGATGGCCGAGACAAACGCGGCCACGCCTACCCCCTACACCGTCAACAGCACGCTGCGGTCGCGAACGGCCGGCCCCGACAAGGGCCCCGACCTGTGCAAGCGGGACTCCATCCTGGCATCATCAGCGGCTTCGACGGTCTCGACGTGGCCTGAAGATGCGCAGGACATGGAGGACGAGGCAAACGAGAGCGTGGACGCCAACAGTGCCAACAGTGCCACCAATGACACAAATGACGCAAATGATGCCAATGGCGCCAGAGACGAGGCTCGCGACGCTCACAAAGGCCACGCCCAGCACGCCGAGGACGAAGACGAAGACGACAACAGCTACGCGAGCTGCCTCTGCCGCAGCGCCAGCCGCCGTAGCAAGGTCGCGTCCGTCGTGTCGGCCGCGTGTCCTGCGCCTGTCCGCGAGGCGCCCCTGCCACCCACGGACGCGACGCACGCCCCAACACACGACGACATGGCGACCGGTGATACTGCTGGTGCTGCAGCGTCTCGTGTGGTCGGTATCGAGCCAACCACGACCGCACACTCGGCCCGACCGTCTGTGGATGTGCACCCAGGCACAGCTGCAGCTGCAGCGCCAGCTGAACGCCAGTCGACAACAGCGTCTGTCACGCGCGACAAGAGCTGGCGATTGTCCAGGAGCCCGTTCAGCTTCCGTGGCGGCCCGTTTCAGCGCAGCGGCAGGAAGAAGACCAAGCACAGCGCCAGCGAAGACGCCACGCCCGCCGTCCAGTACGAGGATGGCCTCATCCCCGTTGTGGACCCAGACACGACAGCCCACGAGACTCTGGCCGAGAGGCAGTGTGAGGATGCGCGTGGCACAGCGGACGCGCCTGCAAGCTCGAATCCTATTTTGCCCGCTTTCACCGCCCAATCCCCCTTGCCTCTGGTGGGGCCCGCCCAGTGTTCAGCTGTGCCTTCTACCGCGTTTCCAGCGCTCCAGCACCCCCATCAGCATGCCAGGCTCACTAAGCCCAATCCGGCCTCGCGGCCTGTGCAGCCCCAGCAGCGCATCGCGCCTGCCTCCTTTCCCCTCGACACGACCGCCCCATCGTCCTTGCCGCTTCCGTCCATTTCGTCGTTTGCCTCGTTTCCCACGCCGTCCCTTCCGTACATTAGTGCCATTGAGAATCCGTTTGCATCCAACCAAAACAACATCAACAGCACAACGCCATTGTCACCGCCGCCGCCTCTGCCAACAGCCACCGCCCCGCCGCGTTTCCTCCTCCGCGTCTTGTCCATGTCTGATTCGCGCCAAAAGCGTCAGCACCAGCAGGACCAGCAGGACCAGGACCGTGACCAGGACCGTGACCAGGACGGCGACGCCAACCGCGCCATCCCCAAAAGAGACAAGGACGCAAAGGACAAAACGGCCCCAAAAGGCACAAAGAGAGAGAGCAGGGCCACTGCCACTGGTCCCCACGACCAACCGCCGCGTCCAACCGTCTCGTCTATGCCCCTCATCAACACCGCCATCCCCGACGAGCACCTGCTGGAGGATGACGTTCTGCAGACGCTGACCTTTTCGAAACGCGGAAGCCTCATGTTTGGCGGCAAACGCGCTTTTGCATCGTCTGCCTCGTCTGCCTCATTTGCCTCGTCTGCCTCGTCGGCTCCTCCTCCATCCGCGCCGTCGCCCCTCGCGCTGCCGCCCATGAACTTGCCGCCGCTGGCCCCCGCTGTCGAGCGCGAGTCTCTGCAAGTGCGCTCGCTCTACGCGTCGGGCCCGGGCGCGGACGTGGGCGCGGCTGCTGCCGATGCTGCCGATGCTGCCAAGGCTCCAGAGCTCGAGGGTGATCGTGGCAAGACTGCTGCTGCTGCTACTGCTGCTGTGTATGGACCTACCACTCCCTTGTCGCTGATACCAGCCACCACAATGCCACTCCCACTCGTCGATACGGGCGTCTGCTGACTGCCGTATTCCACCGCGCCGGTGCTCCCACCGGACATGCCGTGAGAGATTCACTCTGCAGTTCCCATGTACCAAGCGAGCAAGAACGCGAACCTGAAGAGACAGCAGCACCGGACAAGCCTTCCCAAGGGCCAGAAGAGCGACCGTCTCCAGAACCTCGAGAACCGCAAGGGCGGCCAGGCGACCAGCCACAGGATACCCAAGAGCCACCGCAAGACGTTCCACGACTTGGACCACCTCCACAGCCCCCGCTGCCTACTCTCCAAGACACGACACCACCGCCCGACGTGTCGTCCCCGTCCGTTGCGCCCGAGCCCTCGCCGGTGCCTACACCTCCACCGGCGCCTGCACCAGCGCCAACAGACCACCTGCGTCCCGATGCCGCCGCACGCGCATCCGCATCCAACAATGACACCCGCACATCCATTGTCTCGGCCACGTCGGCCACCACCGCCTCGACAGGCATTGCATTGACAGAGGGAACCGAATCGCCACTCTCGCTTGTGCCCACAGCAACGCCCCACCCGTCCGAACCCTCGTCGCCATACGACGCCAATGGTTCTACCAACGGCACGTCGATTACCTCACCTACCTCGCCCGCCTCCCCTGTCCGGAACGCGTACGAGCTGGCGGGGGGGCTTGAGGACTGGGAGGACGTGGACGTCGCCGATGTCGACCGGTTCGGCTTTATCCACGTGCGCCCGCCGCCGCAAGGCACGGCAGCCACTGCTAATGGCGACGGTGATGCTGACGAGGAGACAGTCCATGGAAACAAAGAAAACGAAAACGTACAAAGAGGTGACAGCCTTGCCAGCGGCATTGGTCGCCACTTTAGCCTCCGCCACAGATCCACCGCGGCGCGCCGCAGCAACCACCGCACACTCGACAATGGAAACGGCTTTGGCGCCCGTTCCGTCCACACAAGCCGTTCCACCTCCACGACAGCCACCGCCGCTGCCGCCGCCCGCTCCTCCATCCGCGCTGCCGCCAACCAGCTGCCCCACAACAAAGACCGCCGCTGGATCGACGAAGCCGGTGGCATGCTCACGCTGGAGCCTGGCCTTGCCGACATCGCCGAAGACGAGGACGCCGAGCGCCTCGCCGACGTGCTCAAGAGGAAAGAGTGGGAGCGCGCCGAGAAGTGGCGCCGCATGGCCAGAGCCGTCGTCCGCAACGATGGCGGTCGTGGTGGCGCTGGCGCCGGCGCCGTGGGCACCGGCGCTGGCATGGAGTTCGTGTTTGACCTGCACCACCCTAAACTCGTCGAGCGGACCTGGAAAGGCATCCCCGACCGGTGGCGGGCCACCGCGTGGTACTCGTTCCTCGCATCCAGTGCCGAGCGCCGGCGCGCCCAGCGGGTGCCTCCGCTTCCGTCTGCAACCCCTGCGGGCGATGCTTCGGAAGAAGGAGAAGGAGCGACAGCTCCTCCTCCCATTATGGCCTCATCCGCGGTCCCCGATGGCGGCGAGACCGACACCCAGATCATCGCCGCCTTCCACCGCCTGCAGGACACGGCCTCGCCCGACGATGTCCAGATCGACCTCGACGTGCCGCGCACCGTCAACGGCCATGTCATGTTCCGCAAGCGCTACCGTGGCGGCCAGCGCTTGTTGTTCCGCGTCCTGCACGCCCTGTCCCTCTACTTCCACGCCACGGGCTACGTCCAGGGCATGGCCTCGCTCGCCGCCACGCTCCTGTGCTACTACGACGAGGAGCGCTGCTTTGTCATGCTCGTGCGCCTCTTCCACCTGCGTGGGCTGGAGCGCCTGTACGAGCCTGGGTTCGGTGGGCTCATGGAGGCCTTGGGCGAATACGAGCAGCAGTGGCTCGCCCGCAGCAACCGCCGCGTCGCGCAAAAGCTGTCCTCGCTCAATATTGACGCCACCACATACGCCACCCGGTGGTACCTAACGCTATTCAATCTGTCCGTGCCGTTCCCCGCCCAGCTGCGCATCTGGGACATCTTCATGCTGCTCGGCGACGCCGACAATGAATCGCTGGATGGTGGCAGTGGACGCATGTCGCTGTCCCGCCCCGGCTCGCGCGCCAGTACGCGACCCGGCACAGCCGCCACGACACGGCCCGGCACGGCCACTGCCACAACAAGGCCGGGCACGGCCACGGCCGACGCAGCCGCACGCCCCGTCCATCTGACGGCCACGGCCATGATCACCGCCAACGCACCCGCCCCACCGCCAGCAAGGCCAACCTGGCGATCCTGCATGCCACGAGCACGGCACTCATTGACGGCCTCCAAGACGTGCTCTCGGACGCCGACTTTGAGAATGCCATGAAGGCGGTGACCTCGTGGGTGCCCATCAAGGACGTGGACCTCTTGATGAAGGTCGTCCACGCGGAGTGGAAGCGTTACCAGAAGAGGAAAGCAAGGCGGTAGCCTTGCGGAGAGAGAAAAGAGAGAGAGAGAGAGAGAGAGGTGAGAAAGAGAGGACCAAAACTGCGTACAATGTAGACTGGTGCAAATTGGTGGGACCAACGATCATTTGATTTTCATTTGTTTTACCTTCTACTTCTAGCCTTTGGCTGCGTCGGTAAACAGGATGACTGTGACGCCATTTCATTTGTCCTTTTCATTTTCTTTATTTTTACATTTCTCTTTTGTTTACTTTTCTTTTGTTCACTTGACTAATTCTTTCTTCTTCTTCTCACCTTTTTTATTCTATTCTCCCTTTTTTTCAAAAATATCACCAAGATACCCCGGATTACATTGTTTATCTCTTCATACTTCATATACTTAGCAGCACAATATTTTTTCCCAGTCTTGTTTTCTTCTCTATACTATTATTTTATTACCATTTTTATCATATCGCCATGGCTCATAGAATGTCAAGACATATTTTCTGTACAAAACGTTTTCATCGTACCGTGCCCTCTCTCAAGCCGTGAATCACTGCAGCCTCTTGCCTCTTCCGAGAAGAGCACCCCACCCCCAGTCACGCTCGTTCCGTTTGTTTGACAATGTCCTCATGTGCATCTGCGTCTCGTATATGCACGAGAGACTTTCAAATTAAAAATCCGATGCCCAAAACAGACTCTCCCCTCATTCTTGAAAGGGTTGCCACTCCGTACGTCTCTGTGTATGTTTTGGTTTTTCGCACTTTCTACATCTGACCTGCTGTGCCGCATGCTGTATGCTGCACGTCTCCATGGCCGTAGGCTGTGTGTTGAGTTTCTCATTGTCAAGACAACGCGGCATCTGTGCGTGTTTGTGCGTTCGCGTTCGCGTTCGCGTGTGCATTCGTACATTCGTGCATTCGTGCGCTTGTGCGCGCTGCAACCAAGCGTGTGCACACTGACGACGCCCTCATGCTCATACAAAGGACGGCCTGTGCCGTTGCAGTTGCGCTCCGGTCTGCCTCGTGCCGCCTTCTGTCCGCTTGTCGGCTTTTTCGACTCTGCCCGGCTTCCTGCAAATCATTGTGCATGGATCGCCAGCGCGCAAGGTCCATGCCCTTTGCTCGTTTTGGTAATAAAAAGTTAACACGGTGGTGTCAGCCGTGCTCGGCCGTCGCCGTCGCGATGCTTTGCGTGGCTATGGACTGAATGCCGAAACAGGAATCAACAGAAGAAAAAGGCGTTCATGCGCATCTGCTGTGCCGCATGTCGTTGCAAGGACGACGTCGTAGGCTTGTACTGCCTCAACACCCTCTCCGTACGCGTCTCCCCCCAACATGGTCTCCCGGCATGCAACCCTTCTTGATCGAGAAACCATGCAGCCCCAACAGAAACAAAAACATAGAGTCGCCAAGGCGACCCAAAAGAGAGGCCCAAATTGCATGCAGAACATTGCGTGCAGATGGAAGAAGGCAATCCAAAAGCGGGAGGCGAGGCAACCAGTCTCCCTTTTTTCAGTGCTGTGCCGCCTGATTTCCGTTTCTTTTGTGCATTTCATCCTCTTCGATCTCCCTCCGCACCTCCTCCTTATTCTCATGGTCTTCCCATCCGCGTCGAGCCTCTCCCGCATGCTACAGTTTCCGTTCCTTTGCGCATGTCCAGACGTCCCTGTCTCTACATTTTACTTGAGTCAGTTGCTCGGCTGAGGCAGCGTTTGGTTCATTCCTCCCGCGCGCCCGCCTCTTATGTTTACCCCCTCCAATTTGCATTATACTATTTTCTGGCTACTTCCGAGCCACCCTTCTCCTCTTTCATGAGGTGCACAGTCAATCAAAAAGAGCGTCTCGCAAGACATGAACCAACAGTTTGACGATATTTCGTGGACGGCGTATACCAATACGGACTCTCCGCGCAATATGAATGCACGCCATCAGCATGACCAAAACGATCGAAAGAGGGCCAAAGAAAAGGTCTACCGAAGCCACCCTTTGCAGTCTTTTGACGTAGAGTCATTTAAAATATCCGATCGTGGCGGATGAGCACAGCTTGTCTTATTTACTCAGTCTATACTGTGCCCCTGTAAGACAGCCCAGCACAGCATCCACCATATTTATATACAAGTAGTGTGCAAGGAAATATGTCGCATTGGTCAAGTCTACCACAACGAAGCGATTGCCAGAGAAGGGAAGCCCTCCATGGAGATTGGCATGCCACGACCACCTGCCGCCAGGCCACGTACCATCGGTAGTCTGCCCGTTTCCCTCGAAAGATTATTTGCCCTCGAGCCGCGGCCTCTATGGGTGGCACGAATTCGCTTTTCGGTCACTTGTCTGTCTACCTCGGTCGGTTATGGCACTGTCGTTCCCGGTGTCTGCCTCGTAAAATCTCGAGAAAAATTGACATTTCTGTGTTTTGCCTCCAACAAGAAATTGGTATGGATCTTGGGACTTCATGTCCATGACTCTTGCTTGTCACTCTCCCACTCTTCTACAGTTTTACTTTTACCTTGGTCTCGGCCCCTTGGATTTCTCGGTTCCCTCGGTCGTCCTATGCTCGACCGACTTGCACAGCTTTTTGCATAACAAGGTCCGAGACATGCCGGAACCGAAGACACGGTAGGGTGGACCGACGAAACGTCTTCGATCCCGTGAACAAGCAAAAGAAACGAAAGTATTCGCAAAATATTCGCAAAACAAAACGGCTGGCAGGATGGGCAGAGTCGTTTGTGGAAATCGCAATCTCACTATAGGACCAATGGTATCGGTCTGCCGGGCAAGACACGTCTGGCCTTTAGAGACACAATGGCGTCAATGAAATTACCGGCACGGGGGAAGTGCGCCTTGGGGTGCGGACACTGACGAGTGACAGTTTGTAGGATGTAAAACGCAACAAGCTGGTGACAATACCCTACGCAAAGCGTGCCTCTGTTTACTTTGCATTAATACAGCCTCGAGGCACACTCCACTTACCACCAGTATCTATGGTAAGATGGCGGCGTTCTTACTTCACCGTTATACATAAAGTGTAGACGCATCTTAATTGCCGGACCAGACGATGAGGAGTCCGGACTTTCTTCTTTCGGCCGGGTCTGGCGGCCGGCCCGGGCCACTAGTTCGGGCAAGCAGAACGCCAAAACAAGCAAGAGCAATACCATGACTGTAACGTACTTTAAAGGATTCACTGAATGTTCCTGTCCTGTAGAGCATGTATCGACGCAGAACAGAGCCCGACCGATATTAGTATTAAGCAGTCCAACGGCATAGACGATCGGTGAGTATTGCTGTTCATCAATTTATTTAGTCGGTGAGGTTTGTTTTCTGAGCAATTTCTATATCAGGAAGGTACACTGGGCGCTTCTACCGAAATTTTAGTACTGAATGTCACTCCAGAGGATCTGTTATACACGGAAGAAATCTGCTCAGATAGGTCACTTTCTACATGCCTTACTTCTGGTTATGGTAATATATGTCAGACATATCTGGGTAGATGCTACCTTCAATAGGAAAACTGCTTGAGCAGCTCAAGCAGTTACCCGTCCACGGGAGAGACATATCGTCTCCTGACCATTCTAATCGTATTGAACTTTGCTTTCAGCTCTTGCTGAGTTTTCGCGGGCCCGGGGACACGGAAAGCGACTAACCGTACTTCGTAGTTTGAGGTCGTGGCTTTCGGATGTCAGAAAAGTTGGATCTTGAGGTGTACGATGTATCACTTGCATCATTCCCAGCGTCTAGTGCTTTCGCCATGCATGTCACCATCATGTATGCAACCTCCCAACGAGGCCGGTGCAAGTTCATTTCCATTGCATCCTTGTCTTGGCTTTAATAAGTCTCCGTGCTTTCTTTCCTTTCGTTTTCGTAGACACTTTCCTTCCACAAACAGCTGCATGATGCGCGGTCGAACTGAATGTACCTTGACGGAGCATCAGCTGAACTTTTCCGTTGTAACACAGTAACATCCCTGGACCTGCCCCATACTTGTCATATCCCCATGTCTTTGGACATCTCCATCCTTTGAATTTTCAGCCTTTGCATAGAAATCGTCTAGAGCATTTAACCTGGCTTGTTCTTGTGTTAATGTTGTGAACGGCGCGAGCCTCCGTATTCGCTTGCAGCGTACCATTGCATGAGACTACTCCGTTTGAAAACAAGCGCCACAACAGCTGGGTGCTGGGCGAAAACGAAGAAAAAGAAGAAAAAGAAAGCAAAGTCACAACCAAGCAAACGGGAAAGGAGCAAATTTCATTCCCTAGATGCATGTCAAGTTCCATCTCGTTCCATCCGATTCTTCCGTTCGATTCTCCAAGCCACAGCAACTAAACATATGCCGTATGGAGTCACATGTAAAGGCCCTTTCACCTGGTCGGGTCCGCCAACCGAAAGACGATAAAGAAATTAGTAAAGGCCGCCGATATTATGCGTGTGTGTAGCCCGCTAGTACGTTACCGATGCCTTGCGTCGTCCAATCAACGACTCTGTGGAGAACAGAGAGAGTAAAAAAAGGAAAGAAAACACAGGGGACGAAAGAAGCGGTAAACAAAAACGGTGTAAAGTCTTGGAAGTGAAACTCGGCGCCAACAAGGCAAACCCTCCGTGGCTGTGGTAGAACGTTCCTAAGTTCGATCTGTTCGATCAATTTTTATTTCATCACACCGCACACTCCTTTGTACTTGTCCGGTTTGGGGATGCTGCCGGACCCTCAGACTCCACCGGCCATGACAAGCCCCCGACAAGCCCATCGAGAGAGGGTCACTGCAACTCTCTGGGACAAGAAAACGTCCGTGGCTCGAGGCTGATCGACAGGCAACGCGACACCGCGTGCCCGCCGGTGGGTTGTCCTTGTTGGGGTCTTGTTTTATCACTGCCTTACGCACTAGCATGGCTTTGTGGATCGTACTTGGTCATTCTTTTCGGATATGGCCATTGAACGAGTACGTGCACCGTAGACTTCCTGAAAGCGATGCTGTCCCTGCCAAGAGCTCAGATTGGTTACATATCCCCCGACATTCAGGAACTTGTTTCGTGTCTATTTTCAAAGAACCGCTGCTGATACTTTTTGCCAGAAAAGGACGAGCGTCGGGAACTTCCAGTTACGGCGAGTTTTTTTGATTCTCGCGTAAAAGACAAGAAAGAAGACCTTCTTTCAAAACCCCAACTCTTCATGAATACAGGCCAGAGACGACGTCGAAGTCAATTACAATGTACTTCGTATGGACCACAATATCGTCAGCAGGGTAGTATTCTGGTCGTTTTGTTTTGTTGTCACCTTTCAGCTCTGCTCTCCGGACAAGGGTTGTGGTTATGCCGATGTTACGTTTGGCCCAATACAGGCACATCCTGAAACACTTGAAAGTCTCTCTCTCAATCTGTCTACTTGTGTCGTATTCATACGCCATATGCAATAATACGTGTTTACTTTTGGCTACTGGGAAGGGTTGAACGGTAAATATTCCGTTCCTGGCAATCCTACCCTCCGAGCACCCCCTCGGCCTCCTTAAATGAGGGCAAGGATGTCACCTGAATAAACACTTTGGATGGGTGACCATCATGCTTGTATCAAGTCTGTTTCTATTCCATGAGAGAACTGAGCGACACAAGGCAAAAGGCGAAAAATCTAAATATATATATATATATATATTTTTTAAAAAAAAAAGAAGAAGAAGAAGGAAAACAACAAAAACTAGACAGAGACAGCACCGGGTCCTGCTTTTCTTCTCTTGGTGGCAGGCCAAGGTGATGGCGCGTCGTAGGGTTGCAGGGAAGGATGGCAATGGAGTTCAGATGCACAAAAGGGGAAAAGGTGTATGCGCACCCTCGAGTGCGACACATGTAGACACAAGTTAGCTCGCAGGTCTGGACGTTTGACGTCTTTCAGAATCCAAAATAATATGTGAGATATTAAGCTCGGCGACCGATCGCATCATGAACTGCGAACGGGACCGAAGGCGCACGAGGCAAGTGGTCTTGTATGAAAATAGCTGGTATCTACTCAAGAAAATCCAAAGAAAAAAACAAACCATTATGCTACGGACAGAAACAACACAGAGGAGAATGAAGGGGCCATGTGTTTTTGCCCTGTGTCAGCTTCTGCAGTTGTCATGCACTTTGCCGCAAACTACTCGGGGCACGAACGAGGCGAGAGCGAGCTTATGCGGCTTATTGCATAGAAAGGCAGAGTGTTTGCTTCAAGCAATGCCTGGGCCGTCCGTCCACACCACACTCTCTTTTGGCAACCAGGTCGCCTCAACCAAACCTTTGACAACAACGGTTCGCCTTGGCGCACGACATCACCCCAATCTTACGACGTACTCGTTCACTCTCTGCAACTGAGATGTGTCCCGATGTGCGTGGAGCTTGGCTCCGTACGATGTGATCAGTAGTAGACAAAGCATGACAAGGAAAAACTGCATCCAACGTAACTATCCTTTTTTTTCGAGCTCGTCGTTCTCAGCAGCATATGCGGCTCTACACGCTGTGCGTTATAAGATAGCTTGTTTTTGTATTTTTATTGGATCGCCAACGTGCAGCTGCTTGTTTGATTGTCTACGCAGAAATTGCGCGACGGCCGCAGAGTCGGTGAGAGCCTCACAGGTGAAACTGGTAGGTTTGGAGAAGGTAAGACGTCCCGCATTCTCTACGAGGTGGGAAGGAAAAGAAAAAGAAAAGTCGAAACCATAATTCGAGCGGCTTCTCAATGCAGCCGCGAGCTTCTTGCGTTACGAATCGTGCTGCTGCTGCTCACTCACTTTGAATTTCGGTGCCGGGCGGGGAATAGAAAGCTCCGTGTGCACAGGATCGTGCGTCTTTCTTTTTCTTTTTTCGTTTTTTTTTTTTTTTGATTTTTTGATGTTTTGCTTGCTTCAGCTCGCGTGCTACAGAGACACCGGGAGAAACTACTTTTAGGATGCCTGTCGGTGTGGTGCCGACGGGCTGAAAGGTAGGGCGAGCATTGGAGGGTGGAAGCACGACCTACCTGTTTATGATTCAAGTTTTTCGTCTTCCCAGAAAACGGGTTGTTGTGATACAATGCGTCCTGCAGAGACATCTTGTGGTTCTCGAGGTCTGAGGTGACTGACGAAAACCCCACAGTGGAAAGAGTGAACGAAAACAACAGGGAATCGAAGAGAGTTTTACAGTATTTTAAAATAACTTACAATGTTTGCACGTTTTCGTGTCTAGCTTCTTCTTTTATGTACATCCGTAAAATAACCACAGGAACAGTCAGTCTCATACGCTGCACGTTGTCCGTTTCGTATCGTAGATTGCCGATCACAAGTTGGAGGCGTGCAGTTTGGACTTTGCGACCTCCTGTTTTCTTTTTCTGTTTCCCGTTTTAGACACAAAACCTTCAAACCTCCAGAGAACTTTGTTCTCGCCTTGTCTCCCGCATTTGTCCTGTCCCATGTCCAGTGCGGTACCGATGCAGAATTCGGTGTTTTGCCCCAGTCGGCGCACGGGCCATCTTTTATGTGTGTTATTTTTGTTTTTTATTTTATTTTTGTTCATAATTCTCACTACTTACTAGGCTATTAATGCGACTGTAACACTCTGACAAGGAATGGTCGCCGCGAACCGCAGACATCCCAAAATAACAACGACCGCACGGTCGACGTTGCCCTCGTGCATCATGCAGGGCCTTTTTGGCTTGGAGGCCAGTCGGAATAAAAATAAAAATAAAAGTAACAAGAAATCAGCGGCATAAAACCTGTGCTCAAAATGTGCATAATAGTTTGTGCGGCCATCATGTGCGTCGTCTGCGGCGCCTGACATGCGCATTTCCAGCTTCCCCATCTTGAACATTGAAAGACACACGGACCACCTCGTCCATGTCCTCTGATGTCTCAAACCACCCACGGTTGTCGTACCACTGTCAAACCTCTAGCCATTTGTTTTTTGTTTTTATTTATTTTTTTCGTCAACCCCCGCATAAGCCAGCTTTGAACGCCCATTTTTGTGTCTAAATCCGTCCATCGCTCTTGTCGGTCTTGCCACCCGTTTGTGCACGGCAGACAGTCAGTACCACGGTTCGCCGAGCGGACCCTTCCACTTACTGTGTCGTCTTATGAACTTTCTCTTGTGAGTGGAGGGTGGTATGAACCGTCTTTTCTTGCCGACCCCTCGGACTTACCCTCCTTTTTTTTGGTTGACTCAAAAGGTTGACAAACGAGACAGCCGGTCAACAGCCGGTCGGCGAAGCCTTGCCAGCCCTCTCTCGTTCATGTTCCGCTTTCGGCCTTGCTGATTTATTTTTAACCTTGCGCTGCCGTGTTTTTCCCACACCGTGAATGTGAATGTGACTCTGGATTCAGCTAATCGCTGACGCGCCGGCGCTTGCAGCCCGCCACGGCGGCAATAAAAAAAGAGCAATTATGGGTAGGGTTGAGAAAACACGGGAACTGCGGTACAAAATAAACGGATGCTACCGACCGGCGTCTAAGGACGTGTAGAAGTGGCGTTGTAAAGGCCGTGTTAGGATAGCAGCATATTATAGAGTTGTTTGTGTTTTTATCGTTTTAGATCTGCGGAGTACTTGTTTTTGCTCACTGGCTTCTTTCTTTGGAAACCAAAAAAAAATGTTGCGTCTACTTGGAAATAGAAGAAAAAAAATCAAAGCTATAAATAAAACAAAAACAATTTGCACTTTGCCGTGTTGTGTTCTTATTTTATTTTACTACTTTATTTCACCATTTTCCCTTTAAAAAACGCCCCTCTAAAGTAAGCAACATGCGTCGTCAACTATTCCCTTTTGGTTTGCATCGCCTTGTGTGTTTATGGAGATGTGCAGCACGTAAACGCAACACGCGGCCTTGCATATACAAAATATGTAGTGCACAGTATTTCGTACACAATAAAATAAACACAAACTGTACTGAAAACCATGCGCCGGGATGTCTCACGGTTCCACCCCTTTCCGTTTCTCTTCTCCCCCGTCCCCTTCCTCCACGCACCCAATTCTCACCGTTTCATCACCTCGCCTCACCAAAACCTGGCCAGTTATATGCGGCCCTCACTTGGTGATTGACTCGTCATTGTGTTTCGTTGCGATCGATCGCCCAACGGCCAAGATAGATTGTGGAGCCTGTTTTCTTTCTTCTTCCTTTTTACATTCTTTTTCTCACCCTTTAATCTCTGTCTCCGCCTGCTGAATGCACACCGCCGTTCTGGCCATGCCGGCCGGGATTAAAAATGGCGTTAAAGCAAGACATACTGCGTCCTATTTTCTGCACGGGTTGTTTGGGAGGCAATCGACATGCCATCTTGCGTCTCCGGCGTGATGCGTGTAACGTGCGTTGCTCATGTACATATGCAGCTAAAATAGGGGCAGAAAAGGGCGATACGCGTCTCGGATATATGTAGAGGAGAAGTGACTAAATACAGAACTGCCTGCCTTTGCGTCGTCTACTTTTTTGGTTGTCCAGATGGCCAGGGCATGCAGCTGGGCCGTTTTTCTCTGTGCGTGCATGTCCAGTCGTCGTGCAGTTGTGCAGTTGCAGTGCATATTCGGTGGGCTGTCATGCATATGTTTTGTTATTTGTTGTCGCCGTAGTTGTATCTGAGTTTTTTTTTTTTGCCCAGTCTCTCCTATTCCGAATTCCAACACGCCTGAAGCTCTCCCATTCTGAACTCTTGCTTCCCTGCTTCTTTTTGTCTCTTCGCCCATCTCATGCCTCCTGCCCGTCCTTGATCATTTCCTCGACTCCTTTCTCCATCTGGGAGAAGCTTGTCCTTGTAGCTCGTTGCCTCTTTCGGCGACTCCAAACGAGCGCTGGTGTTCTTCGTGTCCTTTTGGGCGACAGTCGGTTCCACGGCCCATTGGTCTTTTCTCCTTTCAGCCATTCCTGGCAGGCTATCGGACCAACCGATCTCTCAGGTCCTTCTTACCTTGGATGGCTGATACGTGGTGGATGGGGAATGAAAACCAATAGCGCGTTCCAGGCGGAACGCCTCCATTTCCGTTGATCCACAGGCCGTTAACCTTTCCAACCCCTGCTAGTCCTCATCGCTCTTCCGTTCTCATTTTTTTTTTATTATTATTAAAATATGGAGTACTTGCTCGTCGTCCCCATCCAACTGAATTCAATGCGGAGCTAAAAGCGCTGCTTGCCATGCCCATGTGCTCGTCCAGGTGTGCTCGTGCCAACGATGGCCACTTTTGGCCTGTTTTGGTGTTTTGGAAGTTCTCATTGGGAATCCGACAGGGTTCAGGGTCGATCAGGGGAATTTTGAATGGAGAACGACATGGGGTCCTGGACACAGAGCGTTTGAGAAACAGATGTGGATATTTGGATATTGGCAGGCCTTTTGAGCCGATTTCCACACACTCGTTCAGTCGCACCGCGAGATCCTTTGTTATTTATTCATTCTTTGAAAAACGACATGCGTCGTTTATCACACCTGGCTGGCCACTTCTTCCACGCACACCCCTCCAGAGCCATGGTCGGCTGATGCTGGTTTCACCCATCCTGTCCTGATCGGACTGCTGCAACCCTGGGGACGCATCGGGCAAAAGTCAGTGGCAGAACCAGGACCTGGCCCTGGCTTGTGCCGTCTTGTGGAATGTACGTCTGTACCTCTGTTCCGTGATGACTGCTTTATTTCTATGCGACCCGTATTGTTCCATCACGGATAGCACAGAGTAGTCCTTACGCCCATGTTAATACGGCGTATGCTCCGCGCGGAAACACTGCAAATATCCTTGAGAATGTCCCGATCCGATCTTTCCCTGCTCAACCGCTTTGTCCCCTCTTTTGGGCCTCGATTTGGGCCTCCAGGTCACCATTTTGGCCTCCCATGTGTTTTTCTTCTTCTCTTCTCTCTCAATAAGCGGCATAACCACGAATAAAAACAAACCGAAAATAACCAACCAGAGGGCTCAAGCACAGGAAAATAAAGATACGACATGGCGAGATAGCGCACCCAAAAGCACTTCTTTTGTGGCCTCCCGCCGTTTCCGCAACTTTTCACTTCGTGGTTCGCACACCCTCCGCGCAACGATAGTCCGGGGAACCGTCCGATGACAAAGGCGACGGCAACAGTGGTCGTCAAAACCTAAAGTCAATAACCAAATAGCGGAATGACATGGTTGTCTTTGTCTCTTTCTCTTACAGGGAGGTACTTGGCAAGGTCACTAGCCGTGCTGGATTCCGTCTGACGACTTCCACACCGAAAAAGGCTAATTCCCATGGCTGCGCACTGAAATTGCAAGGACTTTGGCAGGCGAGAAATGAAGTAAGAATAAAAATAAAGACGTGGTATCGGTGGAGGGACTTGGTTTTGTTGTTTCGTTTTGGTTTTTTTCTCTCCTACGTTTGATTTGTCCATTCTCCCGTACGGTGATCATCGTCCTTTTTGCTTTCATGTCCAGTCCTTTCTCCGTCTGTCCTGATTTCGAGGATTCGTATTACACTCTTGTTCTCTTGTCTCATCCCGGAATGCAGTTATCGGGTGAGACAAACAAGTCGTGAAAGAGAGGGTGCGTGTGTACGTCGTAGATGTGCCGTCGTTTGCCTTGTATTTACTCTAAAAAGCTGTGTATATGTAATACATCTGTGTATCCGAAATATACCGCTTCTGTACGACGTAATAACTGTGCAATTACTCCGTTAAGTACAGGTAGAGGCGGTGGACATCCTCCTGCAAAGGCACGCCGGCATTCTCAAGTCGTTTTTCGTAGTCCTTAATTACGACTGAAGTACGGCGTATGTGCATGGAGAAAACGGTGGTCCACCTCTCGCAGCTAGCGCAGTTGGACCTGCAGCCTCAGCCAGCAGTGGAGCCGCGGAGCCGTGGCAAGTGCAAGGGTCCCGCACCTGCCCCTTCATCTCTCTTCCTCGCCGGGCTGTCGTCCCAAAACACGCGCTCTGTGGTTTCGTCTTTCCTAAACGGGCATTGGCTAGTGTAGGGGGGTTCTTTCCGTCGTCTCTCATCGTCAACTCGTTTGTACTACGTCCTAGTAGGCTCTCGGCTTTGATCGCGCCTGCCTTTGCTTCTTTGTCTTGGCCCAATATATTGATTGCTAAGTAGACATAGAGCAACGAACTGCAGCCCCGATGGGCTCTTTCCGTATGATATGCCCAATGCCCTTTCCGTTCGCCACGGTAGCTCTTTCTGCAGTGGCTTGGACGCAATTCAACACTCGGGATGCTGTTTGGCGTGCTGACGGAGACCAATGCAGATTCCCAATCCGCCGTCTGTGGCTTTCCGCAACCGCCGCCTCGCCACACCCACGCCACGCCTGCTCTTTCCAGACGCGTGACAAAATGGCACTCTCTCGAACAGGCAAGAGCAGATCACAAAACCAGCACGAGCACTAACCAGATAAAACGACATCTCCACACAAACATACTACCCTGGCTTGCTCCTTCCTGCACTCATGCCCAGGACTTCCTCGGTTTCCTTTCTCGGGAAGTAACCACGACCCGTGCAGTGCCCTGCCATTTTTCCATTTCGTGCTTCGTGATGCTTGCGTAGACGACTCTGTAAAACCGTCTTTAGCTTTGCCCAACCTGTCAAGAACGTACACATCCTGGGGCCTCGCACGCCTCTCACGCCATGCCGGACACCATACCGAGGCATCTTGAGAGGTGTTTTCCTGGCATCGCATTACGTCTTTGTAGCTTGTACTCGCCGTCACGACCATCACCCCGCCTGAGCCAAGCCCGAGCCTGGGATCCCCGGCGAAAATCACGGTGCATATTGGATCCCATGCTGTCTGTGGATCTTACGAGCGCGGAAGGCAAAGCAGAACTCGGCTGCCAAATGTGCTGCAAGTTACCCAGCACGAGCACGAGACGAGACATGGCGGGCAGCAGCACGGGGCCTTGCGGCGCCCGCCCAGTACACGTACAGATGCCAAATCCCCCACCCCCCAAGCGACGCACAACGCCATGACAAGAACGCCGGGACGTGCAGTTTCTCTGCAGAGCGTGAGAAGCAGTCTGCCGAATGTGAAGTCGTTGTGCACGATCCAATGCTGGTCCTGGTCGACAGGATAGGCGTCGTGGCCCATTTTGCTGTGGTGCTCATCCACATAGCAGAACACTTGCGTCATCTCTTTTTATTCTTTTGCCTTTTTTGTGTCCGTTTTTGTTGTCATCTTCTTCTCAGGCACTGGCCGTGTCTTTTCCCCTGTTGTCGTCTGTCCTGTTGTTTCTGCTTCCCTTTCCGCATCCGCGTACTTACACGCCCCCCTCCTGTCCTGCTCACCCCCTCCCGCCTCGGACCCCGTCCATCATTTCCTCTCCCTTGCCAGGTACGTTGTTTAAGCTGAGGGACCTGCTCTCGCATCCATGTCAGCCGCTGTCCTTCCGACCTCAAGTCTCCAAACTCGACGCAACCGACACGTCCAGCTCAAGTGCCTCCGCTAAGCCGCCTGGAACTAGGGCTGCCGAGCACACATTTTTTTTCTCCCCATGGACCCCAAAACATAAAACAGATAATAAACTGGCCAGGCCCGCCACACCCCTTGTTTTCCATTCCCCTGTCCCTCCTCGTCCCCACAACGCCAGCTCGAAACCAGCCTTGTGTCTCCCGATCGCGTGGGAAACTTTGGCGTGGCTGCCAGCTGCGGCGATCGTTCAAAATAGGGAGCGGGCCACAGAAAAGAAACAGACAAAAGAACCATGCAACGAAACCCAAAACGGGATTAACAAGAAAACAAGAGGGGGCAGGTGACGGGCCAGGGATTTTAATAGATGGCAAGAAAAAAGGGAAAATAAATAAAACACAAGACCAACTGCAAACAACCAGAACTAAATAGAAAACCAAAGACAAAATCGAGGACGACGCCATACAAAAATGGCCGAAAGAAGGTAGTGGCCTGCTCCGTATGTCGTACACGAACACGAGATCCCTCTCCATTCTTCAACCCTGGTCCGTGCATGTAGTCTTCCTTGCAGCTGCAACCTCTTGCCTCGTCCTGTCGGGAACAGTTGACTCGAGTCTCATTCTCTCTCTTTCTCTTTCTCTCTTTCTACTCTCTTCCACCAAAAAATCACCACAACCCAACCTACCGCCGGCAGCCTTGTATTGCTGTGCAGTCCTGGTCCATTCTCGGTCGGCTTTCTGGCGTCTTTTGTCCGTGCCCCCTCCCTCTTTTGTTATCGTGTGTTCCTTTCTGTTGTTGCTTTCTCTTCACTCTTTAATTTCTTTTTCTCGTTCTCGCCTCTCCATAGTCCCTCGTCGATTCACACGCCCCTCCACCCGAATCACCCCCCCAACAGCCCTGCTCAAACGACAGGTCAACAGTAGATACAGTAGATCGCCAACTCTGCTCCGTGCCTCTCTGGCAACAACGGTCGAACCTGCACGTTTCTTGGTCCCGGCCGCCAGGTCATGGACTAGGTCGAAAGGCAAGCATCGGCCGAGCCGGATAAGTCAACCCAGCTGGATCGGATCGCCACGCAGCACACTGACCCTGGTTCCCTGCCGTTCATGGGCTAGATTCTTGTCACCACTGGTTGCTTGCAGGAGAGGCGGTACCTGGCCATCACCAGCGGCTGTTTTGGCCTGGATCTATTGGCCTGGATCTATTGGCCTCTGTTTTCTTCTCTCTTTTGCCCTCTGTCTCTCCTTCTTTGTTCGTCACTCTCCGTTCTTGAGGCCCTTCTTTTGGTTGACTTCGGCACACCCCCTCTTCTCGTCGACAAGAATTGTTGTGGTTTGCTGGCACGTGTTGTGCCTTCTCAGCACAAGAAACGTTAATTTTTTCCCACGACGAGTTGCAAACAAGCTTCAGATTGGAAGGAGTAGCCGCCACTCCAATTATCCTTGACGCACCAATCGCCCAACTAGGCAAGGAAAGGTAAAGCAGGCCACGCTCCTTCCTCGTTTTCCTGACTTGCATGCTTCCCGCACACGCACTTGCCTCTCTCCCACTCACACCTCCCATACACAACCTGCACCACCACTCAATACTCCGTCGTTCCTTCTTACTTTGGCCGGTGGCCACAAGGACAGGGTAGTAGCAAGAGGGCAAAAAACGTTGACGCACCAAGATCTAAGGGGAAAGAAGCTGCCTGAGACAACAGAAAACCAAAAAAAGGAAAAAAGAATAAAAAAGGAAACAGCGAAAAGGAGAAAAAGGAAAGAACAATCAAGAGGAGGTATAAGCCTGGAAGCCTCGCAACAAAAAAAAAGGGAAGGAGGGCCAGAACGAAAAAAAAAACCCACGATCTCTCCCTCTCGCTTTCTTTCTTCTCTTTTCCTCTTTTCGTCCATTTCTTCGACTTTCTGCGTCTTCGTTTTTCCCCCACACCCACGTTGCTCTCTCTCCACCATTGCCTTTTCCTCATTCTTGTCTCTGTGTTGACTCGTTCGTTTGCCTTCCTCCACTCGCCCACTCGTCTGACTGCCAAATTCAGTAACGCCCGCCCGACAATTTCAGTCGTTTCACCATTGGCAACAACACCTTGCCGTTCTCACTCACCCACGCTCGCTTTCTTCGTCTTTTCTCGTCTCTCCTTCATGCTTTTGGGTCTTGGTCTCACTATCCCCGTCCATTTTGGTCTTGTTAACCACCGTCACCACCACCACCATCATCACCATCACGACCACCCACAACAAGACACAGAACGACAAACCGTCGCCTTGGATCGCGTCTAGGACAGTTCACCCTTTATGCTGGCTCTTTCGGTGTCCACATGAGCTTTCCGCCTGGAAATAACGTCTTCTCTCCTCCGTATTTCGTCCAACATCTCCCGACAGTATCGAGTCGTTCCGTCCTGAGTTGGCCGCCACCTCCACCTCCAGCTTGTTTATTGCAAGGTAATAAGATCCCCCTTCCCGCTGGAGCACTTGCCTTGTATTTTCTCTCTTTCTTGCCGTTTCTCTTTACTTTTCCCTTTCATATGCCCCATTGGGGACCCAGCCTATCTCGTGCTTCTTGTTGTTCCTCTGACTCTCTTCCTCTTGTAGTGCTGCTCCCTGTCTTGCGTTGTACTCTTCGTTTTTCTGAACCTTTTCTTGCCCGCTTGGGCTACAACTCACTCTTCCCACCTTTTGTCGTCTTCTTCTTCTGGACCTGCCACTGGCTGTTGTGCGGCCCCTTGCACTCGCCTCTTTTTTTCCAGAGAACACCTTTATCGCCGTTAAGCCAACCATTTTGCGCTTGGAGTACTTATTCCAGCGTCTTGTCGTCTTGATTCGTCGATCGCATCTGCACTCTTTCCAGACCGCCTCCACCACGCCGTTAGCTCATGTTTCCTTGTCGTCCTGTCTTCCCTGACTCCCCTCCCTTGTGTTGTCGTTGCCTGTCCACCACATCGATGTCTGTTGATTGTTTCTTCTCCCCCTCCACTCACCTGCTGTTCGCCCACTTGGGTGCTTTTTCGTAATTCTGTCGGCGTCAAACACTCAGTCTCACTCTTGCCCCCCTTCATGATTGTATCCTCTCCGCATCCCTCTGCCTCGTTGCCGTCTTCAACACAAGGATGCTTACAATAAAACAGCCTTCGCACAACGGCTACCAGCCTGTCAATGATCTTCCAACTCCGCCAAACACCTCCCAGCCCTCACCGCCCCTTTTTTCCTGGGACGGGGACAAACAAAATAGCACCTTTGCCATCTCATCGCGTCATCGGAGTCCGACAACGTCCAGCCAGCCAATGTCAGCGCCTCAGCGTGGCTTGCCTCCAACGGCAGCCATGACGCTGGCTCAACAGGCACCACCACCGGGTCCGCCACAAGCATCTCCACAACCACATCATCGACCACACCCACAACAGCAGCAGCAACAGCAGCAGCAACAACCACCACCACTTCATCCGTCAGTCGCCACGCCGCAGCTCCCGCCACCACCGCCATGGCAACAACACGGTGGAGACGACACGATGCGTGTATGGCTACTGGCCAAAGCAGAGGAAGAAAAACGCCGCGCCGAAGAAGAACGAACGCATCAGGAGACACTCCGTCTCGAACAACGACGAACGGAACATGACATTCTCCGGACTTCGCTTTCCGGTGGCATTCCACCACCGATGGTGCCGGTTGTCTTTGCGGGCATGGCCGGAGGCAACTTGCCGCAGGCTGCTCTTGAATGGGCTCACCAGATCATGTTTCCGCATGGTCCGCCTCCTTTGCCACCACCACCCCCGCCGCCACCGCCGCATCATATGCAACAGCAACAGCAACAGCAACAACATTCACAGCAGCAGCAGCAGCAGCAAGAGCAGCAACAACAACCGCCGCATCCACAGCTCCTATTGACCGGTCCGGGTGCAGGAGGTCAGCATCCGCTGGATCCCCAGCGTCCAGAGTCTCTGTCGCAACAGCAACAGCTTCCCTCGCAACAGTCACAACCGCCACCGCCTCCACCGCCGCCACAACAGCAGCAGCCACCGCATCACCCACCGCCGTTTGGACAGGGACCGTATGGGCCTGGGGCCAGGGATGGAGGTGGGCCTGGTAGTAGCGGAGGAGTCCAAGGGCCTGGCTCATCTCCAGGAGGGGCTTTGTTACCGCCAAATCCACCATCACCAACTCGCCAACGCGGGTTTACCCTACCAACATCCAGTGGACGGCCCGAACGAGCGGTACCAGCAGCCGCAGCCAGCGGTATATCTTCAAACCTGCCCACGTTGAACACGAATGTGTCACACGGGACCTTTGGACAGCAACAGATTGATCTGCAAGCCTCGCCGCCGATTCTTTTCTACCACTGGCGACCTCCCGGCGTTGGCGGAGGAGGTGGCAGTGGCGGTGGAGGAGGAAGTGGCGGAGGATCCGGGGGTGGCGGAGGAGGAAGCGGAGGCGGCACAAGCCAACCTGCGGCATCAGGTATGTTCCTCCCATGGACTTTGCCGACGTTTCAAAGTTGGCTCAAGATATTGTTTGTATTAATTTTTTTGAAGTCACCGAGTCGCCCAAGAAGCGAAAAGCTACTGGGCCACAGCCGGCTCCGCCGCCGCCAAGCTCACATCAGCGTTTTCGGTCACCACCATTCTCGCAAAGTTCCGGCTCGTTAGCAAACCCGCCACCCGGTCGACGACGAGGACACGCACGACAACGCAGTGACATGTCGTCCTACCGAGGAGCAGGCCGTGGCGGGTACGGAAGCGGCGGAGGCGGCGGAGGTGGCGGTCATCCTCGAGGCATGTCGCCATCGCCATATTCTTCAGCGCCGCCCTCTGCGACCGGTTCCTTGCGAGACGGGGAGGAAGGAGGCGGACCGAATCGATCACAGCAACAGCAGCAACCGTCGCAGCCTCGAAGCGGAGGACATACCGTGTCGTCCTTGTTGTCAGAAGACGTGCCGTCATCGAGCGGACCGTACAGCCAAGACCATCGCGATGCGCCAGATCGAAGCGCGCGCGGAGGCAGCGAGCGCCACCGTTCACCCCACCGCCAAAGCGACGACAAACGGCGAGGCAGTGCGACGGGTGGCCACGGAGAAAGCGGTGATTGACCAAGAACGACAGCCACGGTTGGCCATCTTGTCCCAAAGCGCATTGCTTTAGAGGGCTAGACTCGGTCTTTTATTGTTCTCTGGATTCAAGACACAACAGCGGATGGACGACCTGCTTCACGGTACAGTCGGTGTGTCTTCGAGAGCCACTTGGTAGCACCACGCCCCATGCCGTCAAATACACCGCGTTTTATGCGACATGGACGAGAAATAAACGTCGGCTTCTGAAACTCTCATGCTTGTCTCTCAATGGCCTAAGCAAGTCGTTTTTAGCATCTTTTTATTCTTTTACTTTCCCACCATGGGACGCCACGCCATTTTATTCCTCTACCTCCTCCATTACTGTGGTACGCTTTAATGACCAAACACGCGACCAGCGGTCGGCCTATATCGCGATCGACAAAAAAAGGGGGGCCCGCCATTCACGAACCACGGTGTAGGATTGCCCAAGAACGGCTATGCCGCTTTCACTCACTTTCAATCTTACGAACAGCCTCGCCCAAAAATCGACAGCCAATTTCTCTCTCAGGTCCGAAATGGGCGACGGCTTTATATTTTTCCTAGTTTGGAACCTCGCAACGGTGCTTATTTTCTTTCCCAGCTTTCCTACTTTGTCTGTACTATTTACATGATTGGAAATTTTGTCTTGTACGGAGTATATGTATTTGTATATCATCAACGAGGGGAGCCTGTGCCGTGCTTTGTTGTCTCGATTGACGTGCATCCTGACGGAAACGATGCTCACTTGTTTCTTTCTTTCTTGTTTGTTTGTTACACTTTATTTTCTACTTTCCTTTATTACTGGATATCGCATTGGTGGTCTTGGGCATGGAGAGGAAGATCACTTGGGTGGGATATATGAAAACAAAAAGCAAATAGGCTCGGCCGCGGAATTCTGGAAATCATATCGGGGCTATTTATATTCTGCACATCTCTTTCTTATTTTTGTGAGGTTTTGATTGGCGTCGACTCATTTGATTTCCAGGTATCGGTTATCTCATATTCTTTTTGCAATCGTCGCAAATACAGAGTTCGTTACGTCGATGCAGACACAAAAAAGAGTTGTGGTGTTTACAATAGCATCATTTTCTATTCATTGGTTTCCTCCGTCCACAAACCCGTCTCTGTATAAAATCAACAGAAACAACATGCGATACGTGGGCTGTTTCGAGCTGGAACGCTGCACCAAAAAGAACACACACAAATAGCAAATTGCCATCGTCCCCTCAACAAGTCTGCATCATATATTTCCCATATGTGCAAGTCCATATGCCCTATTGTCCTGTATCTCATCAGGGGTATATCTATCCCGGCGTTATGTAGCCCGCACACACCTTTAGCGGACGAGAAAGCAAAATCAAACAAAACGTAGAAAGGCAACAGAATACGTCTCAACCCCCCAGGAAAAAAAATCGAACAAAAATACAAACGCTCGTGTATACCGCTGACCAGAAGTAGACACCAATTTGAACTCCAACGAGAGAGCAATGCGATGCAAAACAAGGAGGATGGTTGAAAAAGTGAGACACGTTGAGAAAGGAAAGGGCAGCCATTCACCCCACTGGGCCGTTTTACGGCGCCGGCGGAGGCGGGGCAGTTCCGCTGCTGGTTCCATTGCTCGCAGCGGCCGAAGTATAGCGGCTGCCTTCATGGTAGCCGTTGTCGCCATTGTTCCCCTCTGCGCTGCCCCCTCCCTCCAAGGTCTCTGGGCTGTGCCGACCGCCATGACGTTTGGAAAGAGTCTTCTTTTTCAAGACGGCGGGGGCGATCTTGGGCCGATCTTGGTTGGTTGGGAGGTTGGGAGAATCAGAGCGTGGAGGAGGCGGTGGTGGTTCCGTGTTGAGCGTGGCGGCATTGGCGGCATTGGCGGCATTGGCGGCATTGGCGACATTGGCGTCGCTGTTGGCCCGCGCCTTGGTCAGCTTCTTCGGCTGCCGTCTCGTGCTGGACGTGTCCGGTACGTTCGAGGGGACGCTTGGCCCCGGCTGGGCATTGGCTTCGACCTGCATCGCGTGAGGGGTCGCCGGTGGCTGCTCCACGGTAGAACCGGAGGCAGCGCTGGCGGAGCGGCTGGGGACGGTGCCACCGTAGCGAACGTTGTGTGGAGCTGGTGTCGATGTGTCGTTGGTCGGGTGCGGGTTGCTGCCGGGAGGCGTTGCGATGTACGCATCCAGCTTGCTCTTCAGGACCTCGGACTTGACAGGCTTCGCCAGGTAGTCGTTCATGCCGGCGGCCAAGCACTTTTCACGGTCACCCTGGATGGCGGACGCGGTCATGGCTATGACCAGGACTTCACGCACGTCCTTGATCGGGTCCCGACGCAGCAACTTGGTGGCCTCGTAGCCGTCCAGGACAGGCATTTGAACATCCATCAGTACGATGTGGTACGGCACACCCTCCTTGGCCTTTTCCCGCAGGGCGTCCACCGCCTTCTGGCCGTTGTCGTATGCATCGGCCGTCTTGTAACCAAGCCGCTGCACGTATTGGATCGCGATCTTGCGGTTGATGGGATTGTCTTCGGCGATGCACACACGCAGCTTGTCTTGGTCGATTTGGCTGAGGTCCATGTACGGATTGGTCGACACCACGTCTTCGTCCGGGGATGCCGTCGGGATCGACGTCCGGAGCGAGAGCGGATGCGAGTGTTGGGACGATCTCTGAAATCCCGGGTTCGACAGGGCCGACTCCAGGTTGAACGAAGACGCAATGGGGCTAGAGGAGCTGTCGTCGCCGAGAGGAGACGAGGCTGGCACCGTGGCCGGGATGTCGCCAGCAGTGGCATTTCCGGTAGCCTTGTCAAAGGTCACCGTGAACCACGCCCGTGTGCCGACATTTTCGACACTCTCGAGGTAGATCTTGCCTTTCATGATCGTCTCGATGAGCGACTTGCAGATGCTGAGACCCAGGCCGCTGCCGCCGTACTTGCGCGCTGTGCTTGCATCGGCCTGGCTGAAAGGCTGGAAGAGCTTGGCGAGTTGCTCGGGCGGAATACCGATGCCGGTGTCTTCGACCCAGAAGGTCAACGTAACCGTGCCCTCGGTTTCGGACTCGACCCGCGCGCCAACGGTAATTGTGCCGCGCTCCGTGAATTTGATGCTGTTGCCAATGAGGTTGCCGAGCACCTGGTGCAGCCGCACCGGATCGCCAAAACAAAAGAGATTCGGCGGAAGATTGATTTGTTTGATGATTTCGACCACGCCTGCCTTTGTCTTGCCCTGGTTGCGGTACGAGGCCGCGCGGACGACTTCCGGTATGAGGTCTTTGGGGTTGAAGGCGGTGATGTACAGCTTCATTTTGTCGGCCTCCATCCGTGAGAAGTCGAGGATGTCGTTGATCACAATAAGGAGCAGGTCGGCAGACAGACGGATGGCTTCGGCCATTTCTTGCTGCTCGGGTGTCAATTTGCTGTCTCGCAGCAGCTCCGAGTTGCCAATGACACCATTGAGCGGCGTGCGCAGCTCGTGCGACACGTTGGCGAGGAAGATGGATTTGGCCTTGGTTGCTTCCTCGGCGAGCTTGACGTTGCGGTTCGCTTCGGCTTCGGCGGCCTCGGCAAGCAAGAGATTGCGCTTGGCTTCCTTCTCGGCGGCCTTGGCCTTGTTCTCGGCCTCAATGGCTTTACGCAACGCCGTCTTTTGCATCGTGACCATGGACCGGTTTTCGGCGGAAACCTTCTCGATCGCCTTGATGGCCAAGGCATTGGAGTAGCTGATGCCAATCTGGTTGACCAACAGCTGCAGGACAATCACATTCCTGTCGGTGACCGCGCCAGGCAGACCCTCCAAGTACAGCACGCCAAGGAGGGGATTCGAGGCGTGGCAGATCGGGATGGAAATGACCGACTTGCTGTGCGGGTTCTTTTGCATCCAGCTGTCGCTCACGTTGCCGAACCGCTCGTCACTAATCAAGTCGGGCACGAACACAGATTCACGGAACCGCATGCTGTAGAGAACCACGTTTTCGGCAACGATGCACGTGCCCTTGAGAGGCACGCCAGGCCGATGCGAGACGGCTCCCTTTTCTGGATCACCGCTTGCGGCAACACACCAGTCCGAGGACGAGCCGTCTTCGTCCTGCACGACAATGGCGGCTTGCGTCGCCGAGCCACCGCACGTCTGCAAAATCACGTCACACATGGTCTTGAGCAGCTCGTCGACGCGGAGCTCCGACGAGATGACCTGAGACGACTGCAGGATGGCGTGCAAGTCAATCATGTCCAGGGCCGGGAGACCAGCGGCCCCCGCGGCCCCCGCCTCCGCTTCGGCCTGCATCACACCGCGCCAGACGCCAATGCGTTCGCCCCTCAGGTCGGCCATGCTCGTTTCGCCGCCGCCGGCTATGCTGTCGCCGGCGGCCTGGCCTTCGTCGTGTTCGATAGCATGGTATTGGACCGTGGTCGTATCGGCCGCAAAGTCGGTCTGAATGCCCGCATCTTGCGTGCGCAGGTTGCGCGTTGGCCCACGCAGGAGAAGGCTGTGCTCTTCTTCAATGCGATCGGCGACACCGACCGCGGCAAGCTGCCGGTACAGGCCAACTGCATCACGCAGGGCGGAGCGGGCCGAACGCCGGGCGCGTTTTCGAATAAAAATACCCGCCATCAGGTAGTTGCCCAACGCCTCCTCAAAGATGAAGTCGTGCTCGGCGGCATGGTCCAAGGCCTCCTCGTATTGAAGGAGGGCATACCCACAGTCGTTGGTCAGCTCAGAGACCTGCGCATCGAGGAGCGTGTACCATGTGAAGTAGTTGACGTCCGAGACGGCGGACCAGTCGCGAACAGACTGGCTAAGCTCCTTGATTTTGGAGACCGTCGTTTCGAGGACCCTGGCTCGCGCGTTGCCGCTTTCCACGTCATCGGGTTGCGGGTAGTCTCGTTGGCGAAACTCCAAGCCCGCCAGAGCCAAGCCGTAAAACAGCATGAGAAGGCGCGTGTTTCTCGACGACAGAATCAAATGCCGCCGATCCATGCAGCGCTCACCCAACTGAATGACACGATCGTAGTGGCCGTACAGATACAGGGGAACAATTTCCAGCGTCTCGTACAGCAGCAGCGACCGATCCACATTGGTTGAGCATGCATGCAGCCACTCTTTATACTCTTCTGCACTGTGCCGGTCATCGTTCATAATCTCGAGCGGGTTCGAGACATGTGTCTTGCCCTGAAGGGCACGGCTGACTTGGCCAACGGCGATCAAGAGCGTGCCGCCCTGAGGATCCTCTTGCCAGTTAGGGACCTCCTCGGAGCAGTACCGACAAAACGCCTCGAGATCGGAGCACCCCTCGCTGGAATAGAACCGCATCAAGGCGGTCAGACCAAATCCGAGGATGGCAGTGACACGGTCGCCGGCCGATGCACCATACTCCATGGATCCTTCCAGCTGGATGACGGCCACAGACAAGGGATACTGAATGTGGCCCACAAAGGTCGCATAGATCATGTAGCCGCGTGCCATGGTGAAGGGATCGCGGAACCGATCCAGAAGCTCGAGGCCCGTGGAGCCAAGGTCAGCGCCGAGCTGCATCTGATTGAATCGAGCGATGGCGACGACGGCCAAGTGGACGAAACCGATGCCTGACTGCGGGTATGCGCCACAGTCGAGATGCAAATTCACCATGACGATCGACAGATGGTAGAAATAGACATCGTCGCTCCACCAGCTGATGCTCGCTGCCTCGGCCAGAACGGCTCCGATGGAAGCCAAAACCGGGTCGTCCGAGTTTGGCGCGCTTTGCAGGTCGAGGCCGTCTGTGTCCTTGATGCGCGCCGTGAGCTTATGGAAATCGCCATCGCACTGCTCGTGGGTGGGATTGTCCCTGACGGAGACGCCAAGTTCTTTGAGGCAGCCCTTGAGACGTTCGAGTGCTTCGGTTTGCTTCCCCGCCTGTGCATCAATGCGGGATTGGATAATCCAGGCCGGCGCCTTGTCAATGGCCTCCTTTGCACATCTGTATATGGTGTCTAGGATGCCGTTTGCCAATGATTGATGGCCGACGTACAGGTAGCATTCTGCGGCACGGAGGTACAGCTGAAGCGTCTCATTGTATGTGGCATCCATACCATCATCCTCCCACGGTTCGTCTTGGAGAAGGGCAATGGCGTTGCTGTAATACTTGGCGGCGGCCGGGCGTGCTCCGTTCTCCGTGGCGATGCGACCACAATCAAAGAGCAACTTGCGATACGGCTCCCGTTTCGTGACACGCTCCTTGATGAGCTCGACCGAGTCGCAAATGTGGGCAGCCGTCGTGTCCCACATCCGCAGGTCGTCGCTGTAGTATGTAACAAGTGTTCGTGCAATGACATAGTGCATTTTGCGAGGAGTGCAGACGGCGAGCTCGGCCGAGGCCACGACATAGCGGTCGTGGGCAAAGCGAAAACCGTCGTCAGTTTCGCTCGAGGTGAGGATGTAGGATTGGATGGCCGTCTGCAAGCCCTGAACCGCGTCGTCCTGTGAGAAGGACGCGTGGGCATGTTGGCCAAGAGGGCCCGGACAGGTATGGTCGGTAAACAGGAATTCTCCGCTGAGGAGGTGGCAGATTAAGTCAAACGAGAAAGAGCTCCCAATAAGAGCCGCCCAGCCCAGGATAGCGCGCGACGCCGGCGGCAGCTCCATCAGACGGCTGGTGACGAAATCGGTGTTCAGCAGGTCATAATCACTGTCACCTTGGAACTGCTCAAATACGCGGTTCATATCAAATCGCCAGACGCTGTCGCGATAGTCGTAACTGATGCACTTTTTCCGGTAGCAGGCGCTCAGCATTTCTCTCATGAAAAACGGATTGCCGGCCGTTTTGGCCTGCAGCACAACCGCCAGGGCGATGACTTCGGCTTCTGGCCGGCTCAGTGTCAAGGACACGTATCGAATGATGTCCTCTTCGTTCAGAGGGCGGAGCTGGATTCTGGTAATGGTTGGACCGCCTTTCTTTTGGACGTCATCCGAGTCCGGTGCCTTGAGAATGCGCAGCACTTTCTCGGGAGAGATCTCTTCGGGGCGGTAGGTAATGATAAGGACCATCCGCAAGCGAGCACCAATGATCTGGGTGATCAAGTCGAGAGATTCGTCGTCTGCAAAGTGCAGATCGTCAAGGCAAAAGCAGACAAACTTGTGGCTGGTAAACATGCGCAGAACATCAAGGACCGTGTTCATAAGGCGGATGGACTTGGTTGCCGCACCCGCGCGGAGAAAATCTTGGTTTGCTGGATTCGACGACCGTATACTACTCGGCGCCGAGCTGTTCTTCACTGGGCTGAAGTTTGACGACACCGAAGACCCAGGCGACGAGCCACGGCGGCCGGGGACAGCCGCACGCGGATGCTTTCCTTGGATGCTGGTCGACAAATGAGGACTGGACATCCGTGATGGGGGCTGTTGACTCCCATCGGGTGTATTGAACAAAAACTCGGGGAGACCAAGCAGCTGGTGCAACATGGGCCAGAGCGGCCGCACGTATTGCTTCAGTGACTGGTGGAAAGGCGTATCCGTGTTCCGCTCGCCCCACACCTGGCGGAAAAGCGACGACAACAGGCCAAGCAGTGGTCCGAACGCCGTCTTCCCGGCCTTGTCAAATTTGGCCGTCGCGCAATAGCCACGTCGTCTTGTGTCGTTAAGTACAGACTGAACCAGGCAGCTCTTGCCGAGTCCCGCTGCACCTTCGATTGTGACAATCTCACAGTGTCCGCGGCGGCGGAACTTGGCAGAACCCAGCTGGCGCGATAGGCTGCCCGAGTCAGCCGTCAGGGAGCCACCCGTATGGCGTGCGGAGCCGTCCCGTTCAGCAAGGATGCTGTCCAAGGGGCTTTTGGCGTCAAAAGACACGGACTGGTTGCGGTCCCAGGATCGTTGTGGCAGACGAGCAGCAGGCGGGTTCGAGTGATTGGAATTCACGGTGTCGGCCGACACGGTGTGCGAGTCTGCCGACTGGGCCGACTGGACGGAGGGGTGGAAACTACCTCGATAGGCCCTCGGATCGGACGCCACCGTGTGGGTAAACGAACCGCTCTGTGCATTCGTACCTTCCAGGGAGCTACCACCGCCTTCGCTTGACCCATCGGCCATGTCAGGGTAATCGGCCGTCGAGAGGCTAGAGCCGTCCGACATCCGGCTCCCGCCGCCCTTGTGGCTGGTGGCATGACTTTTTGCCACACGCTCAATGACCGTGAGAAGCTGCTCTCGCGGTTCCTCACGGCCAATCATGTCTGTGGGGAGCATGAAAGTCGAGGAGACGTCCCGCGAAGCAACTTGCCAGTCCTTCAAGGAGGCCAGGTCGCCGTTGGCAAGGAAGTTGCGCACGTCGACCAGGTCGTGGCGCAGGCCACTCGCCGAGTGGTACCGATCATGAATGTTCTTGGCGGTGCACTTCTGGATAATGCGGCCAATGGCGTCGGGCACGTCGAGGCGGACCGTAGACACGTTCAAAATGCGCCGCCCCAAGACACACTGGACAATGTCCAGGGGTAGCTCGCCCTCGAAAACGGGTTGCTGTGTCAACATCGTCCAGAAGAGAACACCCAACGAGTAAATATCGGTCCGTGAGTCCGGCTCGGCGGGCATGCGCCCTGTCTGTTCGGGGCTGATATACATTAGTTTATTCTTGGCACCCAGCTCCTTGGACAATGTAGCCCAGCCCGTGCTCATCAGGCCATGCTCAAAGGACCGCAGGCCAGAGCCGAAGGACACCAGCTTGACCTGGAGGGTGTCTGGGTTGAAATGGAAGGCGTCGCCGCGGATTTCACCATGAACGATATTCTGGCTGTGGTGGATCAGTTCCAGGCACTGCGTTGCACCAATGGCAAACTCTAAAAAAAGCTCGAGGCTGATGGGTGGTCCAAGGTTGATGTCAGGTTTGATATACGCTTCCCATGCGTCGCCGACGCGGCGGGCAAAGTAAAAAGCCGGGCCAAGGTCGGTGAACTTGGACATGTCCGTTCTGCCGGGGCTCTGGTAGATGGCGACCACGAGCGGACCACGGTCGCTGGAGTGAGGCGCCAAGCGCATGAGATCGACGGGTTTCGCAAGGTGCTCGCCGTGCGGGTCGACGCTCTGATTCATTTTCTTGACAATGTGAAAGGACCGCTCTTCACGCAGCACATGGTATGATATCCGTGCCACAACAGCCTCCTCGACCAGGGCTTCGCTGACCGAGGCGAACGAGGCCGAGCTCAATGCCGACGACGTACTGTCCACATGGCCGTCGCTCGCCACGTCGGTCGCCGTTGGGGAGAAGACAGAGCCGTCTGCCGGGGGTGTCCGGTTTGAGACCAAGCGGCCGACGGGTGACGGGCTCGAGACATGGCTGGGGTGGACTGTAGACTGTGAGGACGCCACGAAATGGGAGACAAATCGCGTGCCAAAGACATGCCTGGGAATCGTCCGCGTTAGATCACAAGGCCATGACAACAACAACCAGGGGCACCCAACTTACCAGTTGTCGTAGCTCGTGTGTAGCGGCCGCTGCGTCTCGTCCCAGGTGTATCCGGCGATCTGGCGGAGACGATCGAACATGCGCGCCGGTGGATCGAGCGAGTCGTCCACCAGCGGTCCCGCGTTGATGTCCATGGCGGTCACGCGTTGCAGGCCGTCACGGGCAGGTCTGTGCCGTGTATGTTGTCGTTCGCGTGCGCCGTTGTCGATGTCAAGGAAGCGGCTTGCTTTGGGCGACTGGGTTGAGAGGCTCTTCAGGACGAGGTTCCCTCGAAGTGATTAGTCTCTGCCAGGCTGCGTCAATAACCGTTTTGGCTGCATCGTCGGGCGTCAACAGGTCGATTGGCAAGCGACTTCGGCGGTGCCGGACGACAACGGAACGATGCAAACAGGGTGAAAAGGAGAGAAATTGCGAATCGGGCGGCGCGTGTCTATCACGGCCCGGGCGTGCCTGTCGTCTGAGGAGGGGTCGGGGTTTGGAGAGCGAGACGGTGAGGCTGCTATCGGAAAGTAATCTAATCATCCGAGGATGTGTGGCTTGTCGAGGACCTGCTCCGTCAGGAAACAACACCGCCGTTCTTTTCGTTGTGCTTCCTTGCGACGGGCAGCGTGCGCACGGCCCCTTTTGCTGTTGTTGCGGTCGGTGAACTTGGCGGCGCGCTTCCCTCGCTTTTTACCACTTCGTTTATCGATGTATCGGGCGATCGATCTGGGCGGAAAATGTCAACAGGCAGCACGAAATGACAGGACGGCGAGCGGTTCCAGCACAAAGGTACGCCAAGTTATAGCCTCACTACTGGCTAGTGTCGTTTCGTGTCTCACCTCTCCTCCCTGTTCGCTAAGGCGTTTGTTTGTCACTGTGCTGTGAAGCTGCTTTTTCTCTCCAAAACGCCGACTCAGTAAGAAGCGGGTGCCGCTAAATGTCGACTTAGGTCTGCTAGTTTGGCCGCCTGTGAGAAATCAGGCGCCAAACGTGAACGGTGTGTATTCCAGGGGAAATGAGTGGGTGCGAAAACTGGGGCCGAAGCTACTGATGTCGGTGAAGCGTCATGAAGATGCACATGGCCAGGTTTGCACGTATGGTCAACTCACGATCGTGAACAAAGACAATGTAGATACGAAAGAATGGAAATGAAATGCGAACACAGGATGCAATCAAGGTTGGCACGGGAATGGGGTATGGGGCAATACGGTAGAGAGGAGGGAAAGGTGAGGGAATGTGTGGAAGATGTTCAACGGAAATGCCGCTTTGCAGAAGAGCAGAACGATCACAGCAACTCTCGTTCGGATTTTCCTAAACCGACCCAAATGTGGGCAAGGAAGGTGCCGCACATATATGGAAAGAGCACAACCAAGTGCACGAAGCCCCTAGACAGCGCTGTGCATTGGTCGCCATTGCTGTATTACAGTACGAATGTAATTACACTACAAATACTACCCTCTACGCGCTTATCCGCATAGCTGCTTCTCACTGTTTTGCTGCCCATGTTATATGCCGTATTTACTTCTGCCCACTAAAATTGCAGCCGTATGTGCCTTGTCCAAAAATCGTTGCGGGGAATGTCATTGGCGGGCACTACTGTTGCGTCCGCCAAACAAAGGTCATGGACATGTACTTATAGCGTCGTTTCCCACAGTATAGCACGCCATAAGGTACATAATACTACTTTTGCTCCCATTACGTGGGATGCATGGCATGCATCCTCCTCTCCCGTCTCCAGCACAACATGATGTCAGTCTCGACAAACAGCCAATCACAGCGGCGATACCGACACGAAAGTCCGTCACACTTGGGTAATCCGATCGCTTTGTGGCTCTCGAGACTCGTGCTGTTTTTGTGCGATCGTTTTTTGTGCACCATTTATGACGCAGTCTGGCAGTGTTCAATGGACCTCGTCGCCCCCCGTCGAAGATGTCTGTACTCCATACGTCTGCAGGTCTGGTATTGGCTCTGAAAGGATAGCAAACAATATGTTGTTTCTACAGGACGGGATTGTGTGGCTTGCATTCGTAAGCCATGTTCAACAGTCGTGCTACGACGTGAGCGGAATGCCAGTGGCGGATCGTGAGATTGGATTGTGCGCCAGGAACAACAAGGCACACAAGGGTGACTGTACGGCGAACAAAGACGGACGATGCGAGAATGGCAAGGCCAGGCACCGGGATGAGAGCCATCTTTATAATCCTAGTTAAAATACAGTCATCACGCAGAACAAAGGTAAGCAAAAACGGCTTACACCCGGGCTGTTGTAAATAGTTAGACGGGCACATTTCGCGATTCTTATAACGATGGCCAACGACTTGTCACATCGACAGTGGCATGCACCTATTCGCACACAAAGATAGGATGTATAATTGGCGCATGGACCTGCGTGAGCAGTAAAACTAGGTTTATGTATCAGCGCCAGACATGCAGAGAAATAAGAGAGAACCACGGAAAGTAAATTGAAAGTAAATCAGCGCGTTCTATTCATCTCCATATCTAACTAAATCAAAGTAATAATTTCGCTCTGTCTGAGCAATGAATGCGTAACCTCGAATTTTGCCCCCCTTTTTCTTGCAGACAATTCGCCATCATTAACTGTATATTTTGCTCGTCCCAAAGAAAGGCATGTTTTGTCAGCATGTCGCTCGCTACCATCCTCTGTCGCCCCCACTGCAGTGGCAGGCACGCAGAACAGAGCCCCTCAACGTTAACGCGAGGGGAGGGACGCATTCGGGGCCTGGGTACCAAAGGCGAATGTCTGGTCCAGGCGACGCTCGGTGTTCTGGCGCGAGTTGACAAAGTCGGGGTAGTTGAGCGTCAGCTCGACAGCGCCATTGACAATGTGGTCAACCGCCTCCACACCGAGCATGAACGAGTGGTCCTGGTTGCCGACCTCGTACCGCCAGCTGCCAAAGCGGCCACGAGACAGGATGTCCTTGTCCTGCAGCTTGGGCAGCAGCTCCTTGAGAACGCCCTCGCGCTCCAGGGTGGGCGTCGGGTAGCCCTGGACGAACTTGCGGTGGTAGGTCGACACGATCGCGTCAGTGGACTTGATCATGTCGGTGTTGATGAGGCCCTGAATGCAGTCCTTGAGCAGGTTCTCCTCATCGACGGGCTTGAGCGACGACTGCGACACCTCCAGCATGATGGACCAATATGGGCCGGCCTCGGGCTCGCTCGACGCGGGCTTGCTGCCGTCGGCGTGGTAGAGCGTCGGCAGCTTGACATCAGCTTGCGGCTGGTTGTTGGGCGAGTAGTTGGAGAAGATGGTGGCTCGGTAAAAGGGGCAGTTGTCCTCGGGGAAGTAGAGCTAGAGCACAACAGGCTTTTAGTATGCATATCAACAACAAACAGAAAGCACCGGCGACCAACACGCGGACATACCCAGCACTTGTCACCAATGCGCTCGGGGCGCTCACCACGCAGACCGACACCGATGACGTGGGTCGACGAGTAGAAGAGGCCCTTGGAGAGGTCAATCAACGCCTTGTCCTCCATCTTCTCAACAAGCTTGTCCACAGCCATGGTGTTGACCAGCTTGCCGTAGCCAATGGTGGTGCCGTCGGCCATGGTGACAATCTTCTTGTCAGCGTTCACCTTGGCGACCTCGCCCTTCTTGCCAAAGACCTTCTTCTCCTTGGGCAGGGTGTCGGCCACGGCGATCCAGATGCCACCAGTGCCGTCACGAGCGGGGAAGCGGAAGGTGGCGTTGGGGCCCCAGTTACCGGCGACCTTGTTCAGGATGACGTTGCGGATGGTGTTCTTGACGTCAGGAGCGGCGACGCGCTCGCCGAGCCACTGGCACTGCATCTTGGTGGTGGGGACAGCCCACACCTTGTAGTTGTAGGGACGCATAAAGATGTCGGCGACGCCCGTGCCTGTCATGCGCACGATCCACTCGTCGAAGTTGGCGGGTTTGGTGTTGGCCACGCGGCACTCGAGAGCGGACTCAATGAGGCCGTCGACGCACTTGACCTGGTCCTCCTTGGGCAGCACGGAGATGTTGTTCTGGAAGGGGTAGGGGACCCAGAGGTCGCGGTAGCGCACATAGGAGATGCGCTGGTGGGTGTACCAGTCGTCCTTCTTGGGGAGGGCCTCATCGAGGCAGTCGTCAAAGTACTTGTAGTGGGAGAAGATGACATGACCACCGACGTCGTACAGCTGTCAACATGAACGGTTGTTAGAGCGCGAGGTCCTGCGTAGTTTCTGGCGCCTCAAGAGGGCAGGAGAAAGGGCGCATCACATACGAAGCCCTCAGGGGTGACGTCGGTCGAAGCCAGGCCGCCGGCCTTCTCGTTGGCGTCAACAATCAGCCATGAAGGGCCGTTCTGGAGGAAAGGCTGTCAGAATACAGAGCAGATTTGGTAACGAGCTGCAGGGCCAGGCAATGCGCCGTGCAAAAGTGTAACATGGATGCCTACGATGTGGTTGAGGCGCTTGGCGGCGCCGAGACCGGTCGGGCCAGCACCGATCACAAGAACGTCGACGTTGCTGTAGACAAACAAGTAAGCTAGGGTCAGCCTTGCGGTCTCAGGGTCAATTGAGAAGCACGACGAGTGTGGGCAACATACATATCAGCCATTGCTGCGGATGGATGCGTTTGTCGAGGTAAAAAGAAAGGTTGGGGAGAGGGGCGGAATTGGACAACGAGGATGCAGAAAGAGCGGTAAGGGCAAGGCTGGCGAAGCTCTAGATGAAAAGAAAGATAAGTCCGACGACGCGCGGACAGCAAACAGGCGATGACAGATCGTCTATGTTGTACAGTTGGTTGTGCTGGTTGCCCGGAAGCTGTTCCTTGTTTGTTTTCTTTCCGGCTTCAATGATAAAGGAGCAAATAAGAGAAATACAGAAATAACGTTCTCCTGCCGTTCGCCCTTTCTCTCAATCGTTCCTACCACCTTCTCGTGTTGCGACCAAATAAAGGACGCCATTGGCCCCCTCCACCTTCCCCTGTTGGCCAGGCACAAAGAGGTAAAGCCCACAACACCCCCCCCCCCCAATGCGTGCTCCTGCTCCATTGGCGATTGGCGGGGCGCCGATAGGCCAGTAAAATTATTATTGGATTTTTTAGCCATTGCCACGCCCATCTTCTAGCACCTCGCCCCTGACCCCTGTCCACCTCTTCTTTTTTCTGTTTCTGCCAGAGCGC